ACGGGTACAAGCATTGCAACACTGTGTTCTCTTGGATCATCTCAGCTGTCCGGCAGAGCACAAGGAGAAGCCAGGACCAAAAATAACTACATTACCACTGCGGCTATGGGTTCCTTTGTTTCACTTGGCAGCTGATGAACCTTGTGAAATACAGGTTCAGTTTCTCCCATGGGGGCTGCCTTACCTGATACCAGASTGTAGCCGTGATTAAGTCAAGAACAGAAGAATTGAAATTCACTACCTGGCTCAACATGGAGTTTAGTTTTGAATTTAACATAGTCTATGGCCAAAGAGAAAAAGAAAGCATTCTTTGTCAAAGSTCTGCCTGTTCTGTAGCCAGTGGGTACCTGTGTGCAGCACTGACTGTATACAGTGTAACAGAGCTCTGTGTGTTACATACATGTGGCAATACCTGCTTCTTTCTATCAGATCCTGAAATGTTAGTTTTGGAAAACATTCTGCTGGAAAAGGTGCTCTGGTTTCAGCAGTGATCGTACTTCACTGAACTGATGGCTCAGACGGTGGTCTGAGGGCAGATTAGTCTCRAGGTATGGGAACACCAGACATGACTGCATCCTGATCTTCAGCTCCCTTTCTCATTGCAGGCAGCCTCTCCTCAGTTCTCAGTACAGTTCCTAGAGTTTCCACCTCCAAACAAGCCCAACACCAAAATTATAATCCCAGGATCCAGGCAATAGCTTTGGATCACCTCTCAGATTAACTATGATGGGGATTCATCCCCTCAGTCGCTACTGCAGGCTCCCTTGCAGCCATCTCCTGTTAAAATTCATAACAGACTTGCTCAGTTGAGTGTTTTTGCAGTTTTGCTTCTTGCCCCTAGAAAACATGCTCGAAATTAATTTTTTTCCCTTTTACTCTGGCACTCTCAGATCTTTTCGACCTACTCTTACGTCTTTTCTCCTGTAAAGCAAGTCTGCTTTGTGTCCTTGTACTGTGAGTATTCGAGTTCTCTCTTCGGCCTTGCTCAAGCTTTGCAAAGCCCTGCATTGCTTACTTGCCCAACAAATATACAGGGCTCATTTACCTTTTACAGTAACCAAAACTGAAATTATTGATTACCTGTTTCCTTCAGGACATGGTGTTAAACTGCTTCACTTCCAAACCAGAGAAACTGCACACAGCAGAAAATCCCCCTGAAAATGTAAAAAGGTCAGTGGTGCATTTGATGACATGAGTGCTTATGAAGCCACATAATTCATCATTTGTTACTACAGAACTTGTTCCTAAGGGGATTAACGTTTGCCAATAAATATACCATATGCTGGATTCTGTATGGAGATTKTTTTAAGCTACTTTACTAAGTCATTAAGGATCTCCCATGACAACTATGACTAAAATGGGCCAAACCCACCAGGGTTCCCTAGACCAGTGAAGCATGTAGGTTAGAGGATGAAGTCATGTCTCATTCGTGTACCAATTCTTCAGTGAGACGTTTACAATTAAATAGTTTGGTTGTGACTTGTCTTTTGGGGAGAGCTATTACTCCTCTGTGAGGATGTGAACTTAACCCTTCCTTCTCACCAGAAGAATKGAGAAAGAACGCAGATGAAAGTAAAGTAGAATTTGAGCAGTTATTTGTTGCTGTCGAGGTTTAGATTCCAACAAGAATCATGGATATTGAAGCAAGTTTCCTATTACAACCTAATAACTTATTCTTTAAGTCAAGGGACCAAATAAAAGGAATAACACCAGGTTTTGGAAGTTGGTCTCTCATAGGAAGCTTTTAAATGTTTCACTTTTATGTCCTCAGTAAAGTTGCCTCAAACTGCAAAGAGAGAAAATGGGCTTTCCAGCAACTGCAGCAGGAAGCTCTGTGAGACAGACAAAGCGCATGAGCTCACTCATGGTCTGTGGCTGCTTGTACCAACCAGCTGAGAAAAATCCTTTTGCAGATGGTGAAAAAGCATCAGATTGCTTCTCTGGATCTCAGCTATCTTCCTGACTCTCATGCCAAAATAGTTAATATTTCCGTGGCCTCCCGTCAGCCTCTCCCGTGTTACACTCTGCCAGTAAATGCAACAATGGCTCTTTAAAGCACACAACCTGCCTTTGTGCATGTGCAGGCTCAAGCACTCACACAAAACTTTGCTTTTGATATAAAAACACTATATATACACACCCAACTCTGCATGTGCTGAACTAAAACCTAAATTCCATCACTGGAGCCAAATTCTTTGAAGAATTAAGTATGATTGGGGGCAGGTCCACAGCATGTGAGAAACTCTGAGGATCTCTGGAGATGAAAGACATTACTTAATTTTAAACACTGGGAAAAATTCCCAGTATAGCTGGAAATTAATGACAATATTCCCAAGGAACTTCATTAGAAGGAATATTTGGCTCGTGTGACATAGTACAGATGGTTAAACGTTATCATGATGGATACTGTGTAAATGACTAAAAAAAGAAGGAAAAGACATGATGAAATAAAAACAATAGTAGTGTGTATTTTCTAAAGTGGTCCTAAAATGGGTGCTCAAAATAGATGTAATGCTAGGCTTTAGCCTTCGTGAAAGTCTTTGCCTTGTTTTAAGTTTCTGTTTGCACTAACAGAGAGATTTCCTAAACCAAACTACTCAGCAGCAGAGTAAATTCCAATCCAGGTAAAACTCATGTGAGCGCATGTCCTACCTGTAAAAAAGATTTGGCTTCTTTTCTCTACCCGCTATATAGGATTCATTCTGCTAGTGAGAACCAGCACAAACTTGACAAATCTGAGAGAAAATAGAATAAGAGAWCCATGTATGTCTGCTTACCTATTTAAGCTTATTCTCAAATGTGAAAAACTTCCAGTAAAGTCAAACACAAAAAATTAACAACCAGGTAATCCTGTTGGCCTGACTGATCATAAATGACATTATTTCAGTGTTACAAAATGAATGGTTTATAGAACTGTCATTTGGGACACTTTTTCCACACTAAATTTAAAACAATTGCAATAGCCAAGATGAGCCAAGGCCAGAGCCATATATGAAGGTGCTATTAGGAACAGACAAAATGGGCAATCTGATTTAAAAATATATTTTTCGCCTTGCCATGCTTTGGAAGCTTCAGTGCCTTTGCTTCTACCCCCCTCTACTTTAAATGTAAACTTTTCGTGTAACTGTGTTTGAACAGATAAAAGCTGATTGTACCTGCTAACTTAAAATGAGTGCCATGTAAGCGATCCATTCCTCCTGCAATCATGGGTGGTACGCAGAAGAAATGATGGATTTTCTCAGTGTGTTTTGGAATACAGAATACTTGAGAGTCCACATTATCCTGACCATTACAGAATGGTTTTGCTCCAAGACATGTCAGGGAAATGACACTGAATGGGCTTTCAGGGAAAAACTGTCTGACAGCCCAACTACTTGCAAATCATTAAGTTGCCAGTTTTTCCTTTCCTATCAATAAAGTAAGATAGAAAGCAGAACGAAGTCATTTAGCCAGATAGGCAGTTAGTAAATGCAAGTTCTTGAGAGAAGAGGATGTTGATTAGCTATGGGACCTGTGAGAAGCCATCTCATCCAGGTAATTACGAGGCCTCTGAGACCTCTGAGGTCTATTGCCTGGAGCAGTACCATGATTTTTGGCTGCTAGATTTTTTCCAACAGTCATTCCTACAGCCACTATAGACTTCTAAATCATTATTTTGGCTGACGAAACAGTAAAGACTTGAGTTCATCATCCACAGGATGATCTCACTGCTCTGCAGATGTCAGGCAGAGATGATCGYTGCTGTCTTTTCAGCCTTGCTGTAACACAGGTTAATTACAAGCACCGTGGTTATAAAAGAGAATGTACTTTACTTCTCAGGATTCTCCTCACCAAAAATTACATAATTATTAAGAAGTTTTTAAATAATTGAATATCATAGTAGGCGAGTCCTTTTTAACAACAAGTTCCCTCTGGTGTTAAGATAGGGATTCAAACAACCCTCTTGCTCTCTCGCCACAAGGCAGTGCCCCAAAAAAACACATATGCACATGTTTCTGTGCTGATTTCGTCAAATCATTTGTGTTTACATATGTATTTCATTAACTTAGAATAAAACAAAATGATTGCTAGTGAGTCTGCCTATATTCAGAAATATTTTGTTCTGTGCTGGTATGAAGTTAGTCATCTGTCTCCCACCATGTGCACGTCCACCCTAAAGAAAATTGAGCAAAGCAGTGAAATCTCATTATTATTCATATCTGTCAATATTTTGGAAACTTGCATAATCTCATGTTACCTTTACCTGGAGCATTGCTCGGCACTTTGAGCACTCTCSTGAAATGTTACACGCTCTGTCTCCCTCTGGTGATCAGCGAGGCCACAGGGCTGCCAGCATCCTCCTCGTGTATTTCTCTGACACTTGTGGTCTACGCACTGGAGCATATTTGTCACTCTAAATTTGCTACTCAAAGTCCAGATGATTGTATGCAAACAATATCTGCATTCTTACCCACATACCTCATATTTTCACTGCATTTTGTCCCTGCATTTTGTCAACAGTTTGCTGAGAAATGTTCCTGCAATATTTAACGCCTGAAGCTAGAGAAAATGTTAGAGACCTGTACTTTAGAACCTGGACGATGCTGCACTCAATGTTGCACAAAAAAGCCTCTGGAATACAGAAACTGATACTGTGAGGACACGTGCTAATTGGATAATCATACTACTGACATGATTTTGCAGTTACTGAGTTTCAAATAGAATTCCAATGCAAATGGTTTGAACATGCCTTCTAAGCAGTTTGTGTCTAAAACCTTTCCAAACCATGTTGAATCAAGTTCTAAATATATCACTGGGAGAACTGTGGCTCCTAAAGAGGCTTTTATGTGAAATATTTCTTAAATAGTTCCCTGTTGCCTTGCACAACATACTTTCAGTGCTTTGAAGTTACTATTATTCTGRATAGGCTGTGTTTGACTGACATATGTTCGGCTCCATAAATCTAGATGAAGAACATAAAATACCAGAGAAAACTTTTTAGTTTAACAGTAACTGCCAAGCTTTATTTTGTTTTATACCTGTGTGACATCTTAAATTCTTCTGATGTTTATCTAAACATCTACATATAAAATACATATAAAAGAATACATATACACGTGAAAAAGAATACTTATGTACATAGAAAAGAACACATATCTATCCCCGTTCACTCACATATTTAGAAGACAAGGGTAGAAATGAAAAATCAGTTTCTGTAGAAATGGATTTCTCCTGTTTGTGGAATCTTGTACTCCCTTTACTTTCCAAACAAATTCACCCTTTCCACTACCTGACTTAATAGTCCTAAAGATGGTGACTTCCAGCAGCTTCAGAAGAGGTGAGGATACAGCAGGAGCATGAAGTGGTTTCTTGACTGTCAACCACTTCTCTAAGAGTCAGCAAGGAAAATCTCGAAGTGGCTTAGCTGCTTTGGTTTTACCCTACACCAAACTCACTTTTTCCCAGTCTCTGCTGGATACAGTCTGGTCTTTGTTTTAAAGACTATTCAGAGCAGATAACAGACAGATTAAACACACAGATTTTGGTCTAGAAATTCTTCTGGAAGTACAAATCTCTCCTGTCTTTCAGGGGAAAGGCTGAAATAGGCATTGAAACAGCTGCCCATAGATGTCTACTATTTGTCATGTGGCAAGTTTCTTTACTCAACAAAACCAGAAATTCCAGAAGAATGTGCTCACTTTTCCAGCAGAGGACTTTCAAAAATACAAACTCAAAATAATTGGAACATACATATGCATTTGATGCCCAGATGAATACTTTGTCTATTTATCACTGCCTAATGAAATATGTACCTATTTAATGTTTGTTTTATAAGCATAATAAAAAGCAAACTATGAGAATGCCCCTTTTTATTGCTACAGCATAAAACAGATTTTCTCCCTGTTTCTTTTACTGCGGTCAGTTTCAGCATTTGCTTAGCCTGTTCATATAAAGACAGCTAAGGCTTTCAATGTGAATATCTACAAGAGGATTCTTAGTAGTAATCTTCTTTCTTAATTTCTTTTAATGCTTTGAAGCACTTACTTCCAGCACCATAATGTTTATGAAACCCACCACTATTCTACTGAAAACTGGTAAAAATTATCCTCAGTGCTAACACTGGATGTCACTGGATGGCAATTTTCCRCCACAGAATTTGAGTGGCTCATGAATATGTTTGGCTGTTTTCTGACTACTTCATACTCTGGAGGGAAAACAGCTTCAGAAAAGCCATTAGGAATGTATGCCCAGGAACAAACACATTCATGGCAGTGAGTGGGACCAAGAGACTTTTARGTGAGACCAGTCAGCACTTCACTCACAGTGCTGCTTGTACTATTTTAAAGCATGTAAAATGCATTCCCAGTGGATCCAGAAATAGGCTATAGATTTTGAGGATATTTCTTTCTTCTGTTAAGATTTTAGGAAATTCGAGTACACATCTACCATGTGATCTGTWACATCATCTGTACGGGGTGAACAAAGGATTTTCTCATTATCAAGTGTCTCAGAAAGCAGTTCACACAAATGGAGATGCCTCAACCATGTTTTTAGGATGCAAATCTTCATGGGAAGAGGAAGTTTATTATCTCCTCTAGGTGAACTGTCAGATGTCATGCTGCAGGAAACAAAAGAACTTGTCTGATTTATTTACTTATTTACTTGGGAAATAAAGGCCCTGGAATAACACAGATCTAATCAGCATTATTGTGTGTTGCCCTTCTTGAGCAACATCAGTGAATCAGCCCCTGACACCAGCAGGAAACAGTGAGCACTGCGGAACAGATGCCCTGGAGTGCAAGCAGTACCTGTAGCAAATTTCACCCAATGGCATCTTACAAAAAATACCCTCTGAAAAACAGAAAAACGGTGCTTCCCCAAGTGTTTTACACATGGGTTTTCCTAGTGCAGCTCTTTTCTGCACAGACCTTGCTCCCATTGTTAATAAAGCAGGCAGTTTGTGGGGCACCAGCACTGCTGCCACTTTGCAGGTGTTAGGGCAGGGCAAACCATAGTGGCTATTGCTCAGTGAGAGCTCTGAGTACTTTTGGAACCAGCTACTGCTGAAGATGGAACTCTTCTGTCTTCTTTTCCTCCCAGAACATACCATTATCAGCAGCAAGGCTGCCTTTAAAGAGCCCTTCACCAATGCAGCCTTTTAATGCCAAAGAACTGAAGTTTATCACTGAAAGGCAAAACTTTTTCTTGTGCTGCCAGAAGGAGGCACATCTTGTTGGTATATCTAAGGTGGTTTTTTACGCACAGGTCCAGCAAGGAAATGACAGAATCCACGTTYGAACAGCAGAGAAGGGCACTAAGAATGCTGAGTACAGGACAGRATCACTTCCAGGATCACCATTCCCTCATTCCATACTTGCTCTATTAACTCACTTGGGCAAAGGCAATTTCTCTTCCCCAAWATACGCATCTTTAGTTGCTATTTGTGATTCTTCCCTTTAATTAAAGCTAGACTCTTCAATTACCCTCAGAAAGTGATCACAGAATCAGAGCATGTTTAGGTCTGGAAGGGAACTCTAAAGGTCAGCTAGTCCAAGCTCCCTGCTCAAGCAGGGGTGCCCAGAGCACTTGACTCAGGATTGTGCTCAGACATGTTTTGAGCATCGCCACAGAGGAGACTCCACATCCTCTCTGAGTGCCCTGTTCCAGTGTCRGTCATCCTCATGGTAAAGATATTCCATATAAAGATGTTCAGGTGRAACTTCCCGTGTTCCAGTTCTTGCCCAGTGTCCCTTGTACTATTTCTTGGCACCAGAGAGCAGAGCCTGATCCATCCTCTAGACACCCTTTCCTTCAGATGCTTACAGACATTGATAAGAGCCCCTCTCTGTTGTGTCTCCTCCAGGATAAACAGCTCCCTCAGCCTTTCCTCATGCGCGAGGGSCTTCTGTTCCCTCCTGCAGCCCTCTCCTGGACTCACTCCAGGTGCTCCCAGTCTCTCKTGTGCTAAGGAGCTCAGAACCAGACACAGCAACCAGGGCTGAGCAGACAGGCAGGATCACTTTCCTCTACCTCCTGCCAGTGATCTTCCTAACACACCCCAGGATTCCATTGGCCTCCACGGCCACAAGAAGACACTGCTGGCTCTCTTTTCCTCTGTGCCACTGCATGCACAGTGAAACCTGAGAATCCCATAAAAAGCCTTTGCTGATCACGCCTGATTCCCAGTAAAAACTGGCATTGAATTGAACAAAAGGATTTTATCTGGTTTCTTAAGAAACCAGACACATATTTTAAAAGCCGTCACATTCGGGTAGACATTTTCAAGAACGCTTAAAATTAAATCACTTATTTGATTCCTTGGCAAACCTCTATGTGGATCTTATTTGACCAGTGTTCTCAGAAAATAAATCCGATATCACAGACCACTAGGCAGAGCTGTTGGTTGTCTTGACAGTGTTGTAAAAGGCACAGKGTGTAAAGACCTCACAGTTTTCTCTTTTAAACTGATTCTGTCACAATTGAATCACAGACTCATTAAAGGAGAATTGCCTGAAAGGGATCTCAGGAGGTCATCCAAGACCAGCTGCCTGCCTCATGGCATTTCTGATGGTTGTTGCTGGCATGTCATTTCTGACAGTTGCTTCTCCCACCTGTTCTTAAAATCCTTCAATTATGACTCTCTCCCAACTTCCCCCTCTATTGTTTCCAGCACTATCATTATTTGTGGAAAGTTTTGCTAACACATAACCCCTATCCCCTTTGCTACAGTTCTGTCTGCACTGCTTCTTGCTCTACCCCTAGTCAGCAATGTGCAGACCAACAAGGAGGGGCATCATTATTTCCATCCACCCTTGTAGCTGTGTACAGAGACTGCTGTCTTATCTTTGACATCTCCATGCGTATGCAGACACACAGGTATATGGTCAGGCCACAGCCTTTTGAACTGCAAAACCCCTGAATTGGTCCCTATGCTGCAGTTTTTCCATACCCTATCTGCATGCAAGGTTACRTTCATGTCTGTACAGGAAAGAGGGCTAATTCCTTTCAGGAATTAATTCCTCCCTTTTCCATTCACTTCCGGACCCACATGATTTTATTTTCTTTTCTTGGAGCAGTATTGCCTTCTGAAAACAAAGATAAAAAGCCAGCTCTGTGTTCTAACAGTGTCAGGATTTCTTATCAGTTTCCCAAATATACCCTGAATAATTATTTTCCTTCTTCCTGTACACTGCTTGCCAGTAAGCASACTGGCAAAACACCTAACAGTTAGAGTGGGAAAGGAAGTGACTCTGCAGATGTCAAAGAAATGTTCTTCAGGAAACAGATGGCTAGAGCTATTATTTATGGCTGACCATGCATGTTAGAAAAAAGCAGTTCATGTTACAAAATATGGGGTATCTGTAAATCTGGCATAATTAAATGTGTGCAAAGAGGATGGGTGGTTGGTGCTGTGTACATAGCACCCTTCTTTACTTGGGAGAGGTTGTGTGGCATATTAAGAACCTCTCTGGCTTCCCCTGCCTGAACGCTGACACTTGGATCAAAGTTAATATTGAGTGGCCATTATAATGAACAAGAGATGGGTGCAAATAGTCAGTAGTGTGCCTGGTGTAAGCAAGAAGGTGATAGGGCAGTGATGTTCTACAGACACAGAGGATGAATCCACTACTGGGGCTTTTACACTGGGACCTGCAGTGCTCCGCAAGGTTCTGTGTCTGAAAGACATTCTGATTGCAGCGCATGTGCTGCACTTTCTTCTCCTTTACAACTGTATGCTCAAAATGGACACAAACAAGGTTATACAAAAGCTAACTACTTGGGCACAGCTGGTGTACAGTTGGAAAGACAGGAAATTAAATGTATTTTGAGAAATTATTCCTACAATGTCATTGAAAGACCATTTCAYGACAGACAATTAAGCCTTGCAGTTTGATGCTGCAAATGCAGGGTTTACATTTTAAACAAATCTTTCTGTTGCTTTTCCACCACGTAGGTTTTTAAAAGGCTAAGAAATATTTCAAGGGTATGAGGATGTGAATCTTGGTCTACATGGAGACAAAGTTGTCTCACCTTGAGATACATTTACTAATTTATTAATTAATTCCTGGCATATGATGTGCTGACATTTTTACTTTACTTTTGACTGTGTTGCCTGACCATATTCTGACATTGCTTGTGATGGTAGGTGATGAAACATGCAACAAATCAGCTCTCAGAAAGCATGACAGAGACAGTTACCATTTTGTTATAAATAAGTAGATGTTGGGAGTATCCTTTTTTTACTGTTACACTGCCAATCACATTTTGTTATGCCATTGATCTTATGCCAGCTTGATGTTACAAAAAGGTTTCTGAATGACAGCTACAGTGAAATGAATATGAAATCTAAACAGTTTGTCTAACTAGTCTCTTTGATCCTCTTCACACAACAATTCGGCTGACTAAAGTTATTTTATCCATTAGTACCTTTCTTAACCAATGTATTTGACCTCTAATTTGGAGACTGAAAAGCAAATAAATAATTATGAAAATGTTGCTCTACTGATGCAGGACAAAGCATAGACCATTGTTCTGCTGGTGAAATTACAGCACCATTTTGAAGCTTTGATGCTGCACTTGTATCCATATGCTCAAATACCAGAAACAAGTCAACCTCGAAAAAACCACAAGGCTCTTAGCAAATGATTTTCATTTTTCAAAAAAGGAGAGTCAGAGATTACCTGAAATTGGGAATTCATTACTGCTCTCTGGCACCCTGTTTATCACCTTTGGGACAGAACTGCAGAGCATACACAGAGAAGACTTATTCTGAGATCTCGGTGACAGATCACAAAAAGTTTTTCTTTGGGGTGACCACAAATACAGTTTTACTAGGACACACATTGGCAAAATACTGACTTCTTTGAACCAAAATTTGTGGTTGGATGGAGGATCTTTTATACAGGAGATGAAACCAAGGGGTTTGTGTTCCTGTTCAAGGCCTTGGGTAAGTGATATTTTCTGAAGATGTTTGGTGGAAATTTCCTGATCATCTCTTCTGCCTCTGGGAAATGCTCATGCTTTGCTGACAGAAGCCTGACTTAGACTCATGCCAGAAGGGACATACTTGGAGGATTATTAACTAAACAGAAAGAGTTACAGCACCTGGATTTCACAGCTACCAATACGCAGAGTAGGCACGCATCAGCCAGCTGAAGATCACAGAATCCACATTTCTCTAATAGGCATGACATCAGAGTGTACCATGTGCAGGGTTTGGGGCCCTAGGTAGGAAAGAAACTACAAATTAGGCACAATAAAATCTGCAGTTTATACAACATGAGTTCACCTTAAGCCTTTCAGACACTACTTTTCATGCTTATATCAAACTGGCCTCTCTTCCGCACTAGCTTCCCGAAAACATATTTCTGATGCAATTTGCTCAGGAGCCATGGATATCTTTAAMCACAGACCCCAAACAGCTTCTGACATCACCTTATCTCATGCAGTAATTTGCATTGCCCTAGGATACTCACATAATTGGATTCTCCACATGCTGAATTAGAATATAATTTAGAAATTGCTACATTGCAGAGAGGGGCTAACTTTAAATCCTCAGTCACTRGAGTAGGCGGTTTCTTTTTCCCAGGTTTGACAATGTTTACATCTTAGTCTACATCAGAAGCTTTCACTGAAATTGCGTTTCATCCTCTGCTTCAGCTAGATACTACAGACAGCTGTGGCAGACTTCACACGTCTCCAGTYGGTCAAGACCACTCAGCAGATTTGCTGCTTTTGCCACTGACATGAACAGTCCACTCCCTTCACAGCCTCAGAAACACAAACTGCCAATTTGTTTTAAGCCCATCTACCAGACACAGAATCCTTCCTTTTCAGCTCTCTTTCACCACACTGGTAATTGWAGCACACGTGTCTCTTCTCATTTTGTATTCAGATTTTTCATAAGCATAAGATGATAGGAGGCCAAGTGAGAGGTACTTTGCTCTCACTTTGCTGGAACAATTTGCTGTTCCTGGCTCACAAATATTTTTGGAGGTTTGGTTGTTTCTTTAAACAGGTCAGCTAGAATGCTAGGTTTATCACTTTAGCTCAAAAATCAAACTATTGCCAAGCAACAGATAAGAAATGGGGAAAAAAAWTTCTGAATTGCATTTCTGCAAGTACAGGTTTTTGTTAATTAATGTTGTGTGGGTTGTGGGATTTGGGGTGGGGTTTTTTTGTGTATATGTGTGGTTTTTGGGTTTTGGGGTTTTTTTTGTTGTTTTTCTGATGTCTCAGTTGGTCCCGTATTATCCAGTAGAACCCTATGCTTACCCAAATCCTACAAACAGGCTGCCTGGGGCATTCAGCCATCATGGTCCATGCAAGCTGTGTGGCCAAATGTGACACCACTCCAAAGAATGATATAAAGAAAGACATTTAACTCACCTAACAAAGGCATTCAAACACTACATAACTATTGCAATTGCTTTACTATCTCAGCTACCCTGGTATGCAGAAAGAGACAAGCTGGTTCTCCTGGCAAATAAGATACATCTAATAGGTACAATGAATGACATTCATGAAGTTTGCCTCTCCTCACTGAGCATTAAAGAAGCGCAACAGCCAAGATAAACATAGCAAAAAAAAAAAACAAAAAAAGGCAAGAGAAACAGCACAGAAAGCAACTCCATTGTACTTAATCAAAATCCTCATGTGTGCACATTTTTTAGTTACTAGTTTTGGATTTGCAGGAATTTAATTATCACAACATAATATTTTTTATGCCTCTGCCCACTACAGGGAGGTTGGAACTCAATKATCTATGAAGGTCCTGTTCAGCTCAAACCATTTCATGATTCTATGGCTATTTTTGTGACAAATAAAGAATTTCCTTGGCAAACCTCTTCTGACTTCCCTCTGTTCTATCAGAACAGTAAGTAAAATAAATTCTCATGAATTTGGATCTTTTTCAACAAACTGTAGCACTGCAAATGGAAATAAATCAATATAATCAAAATAAAGCAAAAATAGATACACATATTTGCTATAAATTAAAGTAGCCTGCTTTTTGGATGCTGTGCTGTAGGACACATTTGAAGAATGTACTCTTAGTTTATCAGAAACAAAGTGAATTAATTCATTTTCCCTGAAAAATTCAAAGAACATTCACTAAGAGATCATGACAGCTTTGAATGAAGGTGGACTAGAGTTCAGCAAATTATGCAGCACTTTCAACAAAGCTGAACACACTGCCAGTGTTTGGCAAGTAGCAGTAATTGGTAACTTAAAATTTCATTTATACTTTTTGATTCTACACATTTTTAAGCTGATAAAGCAATTCTTGACACAACTAACTGACAGAACTGAAATCTGGGTACTGGGATATTGTCTAATTATCAAATGGATACCAAAAACAACAATAAAAAACTTAAACCTCAAAAGAGGATATGAGGTATAGGAAGTATCTGCACTCAGTGTGTCCTATTAACATCGTCTTTATTTCCTTTTTACAAAAAATAGAAATAACAACAGACAAAACATACTCAAAAAAAATCAATGCTTTTGCCTTGGTCTCACTGAGGAGTTGCACAGGCAGAGTCCTGGCTGAAACTTTGACAGTATATGCCAYTGACAAAGGGAAATAAAGATATAGGACAATATATCCATGCAAGACACAAAGTACAAAACGTGTTCCGTGGCCTAACAAACATTTTGGAGGTTGCAAGTGTCATAACAATTTTCAAATTGTTACTTCTGTTCACCCATGCCTTTACACAGCACAGCTTACAAACAAGTTACATATACACATATATCATATAAAAGATTTGTATATGGTCTAACTGCTACAAATTAAGGCATCCTAAGAGCTGCTGTTTTGCTGGTGAGGGGTATGTCTCATATTAGTGTTTCAAAAGGTTATATTTCAGGTATTTCAAACTAAGTGAGACATCATGATGTGGTTTAGAGGAAGAATTCCTGCAGCTCTGGCTCTTCAGTACTCTTTTGAGTGTCAGATTTCTGGCTTTTCCAATTGATGTCATCATGCCTGGAGAAAGAAAGAAGAAAATAACTCATGGTAATGCTAAAAATATAGAGGGATTTGCACCATCTTTATTTGCATTGTTTTGTTCCATTTGCATGTACTGAAATCTGAATTAATCCTTCTCTCTGGCCTTACTTTTTTCTAGACATGTACTATACAAAATACTTTCTAGGATTGTGGATTTTTTCTGAGTACTAGCTTCCATACTGAAATCAAACCTGAAAATCACTGAGATGATCAGAAGCTGTTTAAACCACAGAATTAATTAGTGTACTGTTGCAATAACATTCTGGTATTAATGCACAGTACATTAAAAAAAAAAATCTTATATTTTAGAGAAAAGTATCACAGTTACAAAAAGACCCACTAGCATAAACATTAAACATATCCTATTGGCTTCTGACTCTGCCTGTAATAGAATTATCTTGTCCCCATTAATAATCATCAGAGAGAAATTCATCTATCTATTAGATGAATTGTAGGAGATTCAAATTACAGCTTGCCAATTAAAGTAGAAAAATTAAGCACAACATATATGTAACACTCATTTTTTTCACTTTCATATGCTTTTGTTCTGAATCCCCAGTATGTTCCTCCTCTCTTCAAAKAACCTTTCAACTGATTGTTGGTGGGGCATCTAATCCACAACAGTTTTCAAACCTGTCTCAAAAAGAGTCTCACTTTTAGTTGTTACTACTGAGCAGCAAAACTCCTACAATGCAACCATGACTAGCTGGTTTGCTGCTGCAAAGGACAGATACTAGAGTGAGAGCAAGAGTATGTGTATGAGGAAGTTTGCCTTTAACTCATGTATTGCTGAGCCTGATTCTTGTAAACCATAATAGCTTTATTTCAGTCTACAATCATCACAAAGAACAAAATATCCCCAAGAAACCTATACTTAGGGTGGTTAGGTGGTTACCTCAGGACTTAACATTAGCTGACCTCAAGGACAATAATTTTGGGTTCTAATAAGAAGGGCATCAGTGACCATTTAATTTTAAAACTTCCTTCATTCATCTAACTTACTCTGCCACACACCCAAGACAAGAGCAAGAGGTACAGCATTGAGCCAGGCAAGACAGACTTTGCAGGAATGAGTCTGAGGGGATAAAACAGAAGAACTCTTTGCTATACGTGCATTTTGGCATTTAACATGCATTGCTTTACTGAAGGATACTTTCTCAGGCTAAGGTTTACCTGCTGCATCAGCTCAGGTTTACAGAGCAGAAAGACCTGTGGGTGAGCCAGTCATGGAAAGGCTCACAAGGTACACCAAAGTCTCCATCTGGCAGCTCATTAAGCCCACCAAAGACTCAATCTAGCTCAGTTGCCACGTGACCTCAAAGAGGAAGTCTTTAGCTAATGCAGATGGCTCTTGGTGACAATACTGAACATGCCTCCTCACCCAGAGAAAATGTATTACTGATGCTGCTAATCAGTAAACAATATTCTAATTAAATTTCTAACATCTTCTTTGTCTGTATCACCACAGACACAGACACCCTCTCATGCAACAGGCAGTGATACATGATCATAACATTCACAAAAGAATAAATGTAAAATTTTTGAAACAAAGTCCAAGCTACTTTCAGATTGATGTTATACTCCACTAGTATGAATTGTTACTATTATGTTAGACATACAGATAAGCATCCTTTTTCTGGAGGATGTATTTGAAGTTGTAATTTATCCAGCATTAGGCCTGGCTGTAGGATACATATSAGGTCAGACCCATTTACTGTTTTAGAACCATGCCCAGTTTATTTTCTGACAGGAATCTGATGGTGGATTCTGCTGGTTGGCCCACGTGGAAAGCAATTTTTGCTGTTGATAACAGTAGCTAATAGAGGGGTTTATATTGATATGGTGAGTTACTGCTTGTTTTAATGGAATGCAGATCTCAGACGATTTAAAGTGTGGGAAAGAATTGTTCATTGGCATACATGTAAGATGGAAAAAGCCCTGCAAGTATTTGCTTGGAGTCATAATATGCAAAAACTAGCTAATCCTTCCAAAAGAGGAAAAAATATCCCAAACCATCTTGCACATCCAAAATTTCTTCCAAGGCTTTAAGAAAAATAGGGTGTATCCAGTTTTAAAAGGCCATTAAAAATGTAGCACAGTCCTTTACTATTAAACTGTGACCAGTTTGAAAAAGTAAACTACAAAGCCCTAATGTACTTGGATATTTTGCATGAAAAGAAAAAAAAAACAAGTGAAATTAACAGAAGCTGAAGAAAAAGAAGCTGGAAACTGGTTGGAAAGAATGTAATCTCACTGAAGGCAGATTTTGTAAAATGACTTCAGATTTCAGAAGTTGCTAATAAAATCCCTTGTTATAGGGGTGTAGTGTTAAAACAGGCTTAGCACAGTGTTCAGAAATATAACTGCCCTGAATAACATACTATAAAGGTTTAAAACACCAAAAATTGTGCTGTTTTCAAATTAAAAAAAAAAAATCAAAGTAGTTCTGAAATGATAATTACATAGTCTCCCCAACCATCCAGGGAAAATTCAAACAGTGTCCAGGGCCTTGTAGTGCACACAATGGTGATGCTCTTCTGAGATTTAAATTTCACAGCTACTGGGCGTCATACAGTTAATTAATGACAGATCCCCATTTTGCTATTTAAAAATAACAACAGATGATAAAAGTCATTACAAAGGCTGGCTTAGAAGCTCTGAGAACCTTCAGGTCTCTGTCACGACTTCTGAAAAGCACAGTACAACTTCCATTCTTACGTGATATTTGGAAATCTCATGCCACAGACTTTGGCACCCAGTTTTCCCACTTCCTGATCTGTGGGTATTGTAACAGCCTCCTCAGGCTGTGCCCTTTGTGCACTCTGCTCCTTGTTCCCACTCTCTGGCTCTCCATGTGTCCGTGGTCATGGGGGCAGCTTTGGGACAGGGTGCCGYGACCAGCAGCACCTGGAGGGATGGACAGCCAGGATTTTATGGCCAAGCCCAACCACCAGTCCAGCAGGTGACTCCACAGCCCTGCAGTGGCAGCCAGATTCTCCCAGGGGAAATGCCACATTGCCAGGGATTTCTCACACAGTTGCACAAGGCAAGTGCCAAATTACAACCACTGCCTACATCTGGGAGATGGCTCTAACATAAGGAGGAGATTAAAGGTTTTGCATTACTCTCAGATCCAGGCAGATGGATGTTTTGACTGGAAGCTGCCCACTGATGCTCCCTCAAACTGCTCCTATCCAGTTTTCTGCACCAGAGTTTGCCTCATTTTCAGGAGAGAATGAAACGTTTTGGAAATCTTTCTGGTTTCACATACACTGTGCCAATGGCTTTTGAACAAGACTCACATTTCCATTACTGAAATTAAGTTTTTAAGTATGGGAAGGTCCTGGCAATAGAAAATGAGTGAACAAACTCTTCTTCTTCCAYGTATTAGATATTTAGAAAACACTAACTTGAAAGTAATTTAGGCTCTTAAACTGCAGAATGACTAACATGAAGCTAACTTTACATCTCAGTTTAACAGAAAAAAGAAAAAATGATTTTGCGAGTGTTAAGARTTGAGTGAAAATGACAAGTAATTTTTAAAAAGCATTTGCTTATAAAATATACATTTTGTCAAGTGTTGTTTTTTCCAACATATCTTTATGGAATGTAGGGACTTTCCTCTCTCTGTATGAATAGACCTGATGGAACAYGTATAAATTAAGAAGTTTGAATAAAATCAGAGTTAATCAGACTTTTAAAAAACAGAAGGGAGAGTAAGAAAAATGTGTGAAAATAGAAGAGCACTTAGACTTAAAGTACAGCAATCTGCCTCATGTTCTCTGTATTCTCTATTTAGAGATGAACTGCGGTCTTTTTGCTCTTCTCATGAGAGGAAATTTAATTTCCATTCTCATCTGGTACTTGACTTTCATTCAACAGAGGCAGAATACTCAGCCAAAGTCTGCTATACACCCTGGTGGATTTATGAGCATGAATACTTTCTGTGCTTGCTTGGAACTGAAATCCTGTAGCTGGTTCAACATTGACATCAGCAGAAATCCATCATAAATTTCTGCTTTTCTAGGAATTTAGATGTTCATCACTTCTCTTCTTGCAAATCAGTCTATTCCAATGTTTCAGTAACAATGTTAACAAACACATAAAATTTGAGAAAAGAAAGCAGGAGAGATGCTAAATATTACCATGCATAAGCACATACCAAGCATAGTAACACAGAAGTTCTTCATTCAGCATGCTAGAAGAGAGACTGGTGTAGCTGAAGAAAGGATCCTAAGGAAGTACAACATCATATCAGTTAAGAGCGTGCACAGAGCTTCCCACATGCATAACATGGACATCTACTAGAACACGCAGTCATATAGCCACARTAACATTTTAACAGATCTCTTTTTGAGCCTGAATCTGTTACCTCTTGGAGATACGTGCTGTGGTTCTTTGGGATGGCATGAAAATTTATTCTTTCCACAGCTGTGATGTTGGCAGCAGAGACATGCAAACATGGCCTTTTCACAGAACAAGCATTGTACAGTGCAAGCATCAATACTGTTAGAATTACCTCACACAATTATTCAAATTTCTTAGGGAGCTACGAAAACTGCTCATGGCCTTGCAAACTATCAGAAAATCTTTGAAGACAGACTGTCTTTTCCCCTGTCAATATGAAATCTGAATCACTCATTAAAAAAAAAAGCTATCAAAAGCTATTGTGATATTGTATAGTTACTTCTATTGTAAACTGACTATTTGACTAGATGATACACGTCTTTAAAGACTCAAATCAGTAGCTCATATTGTGATTCTGAGTAAACTTTAACATATGAAGTCCCACTTCAATTTAGCCTATTAGGTCTCCTTTAAATTTTTAATTTAATTTCATTTAATTTCACAGTCTGCTATAGCACTACTGGTCCAACAGCACCCACTAATATGGACTTTTCACTATTTCTCAGTTCCCTCTTTCCACTGTTTCTTTTGCCTCCTCTTTGCCTAAGATTTTCCTGTGTTTTTCTCCCATTACCTTTTTACAGTATATAATTCACTATTCCTCCTCCTCCTCCTCCTATTGGCCTGTTTTATGTTTTCTTTTCATCTTGAAATTATTCTTTCACTTCATGTCTTTCCATACACCACTTCCCTCCCTCCCTGTTTTCCACAGAGGATTAAATCATCTACCATTCCCTCTCACTCACCTCTATTGTATCTCCAGATGCTCACACTTCTTCTCTCCACTCCACAAACACACTGCACTCACAGTATTCCCTACATCTGTCTCTTCAATACAGTTTCACAGAATTAAAGACCTTTGAGATCATCAAGTCCAGCCTATGGCTTAACACACTGAAAGATTCATTTGTTCAAAGTATTTTCTCCTTTCTTTTAAAAAGAGGATCAGCCTCTCAAGTGCAGATACCCCTCTTTCCCTAGGGGTCCCAGAAAGGGTACTCTGACCACTGCAGAGATGCGAGTTCTGGATCCAGTACATTTTGCTACAGGCCACCCACATGCTCTGACACAAGAAGATTCTGTGCTATGAGGAGAAGGAGGGCAAAGAAGACTTGCTGCTGACAGCTACAACACCCAGAGTCGGCTGTAGTTCTCAGAGAAGCAGGAAGGACCATTTCTGCTATTTTTCCTTGTTATATTTCTTATTCTGTTGGGCTCATCAATCTTGGCTATAGGACAGGACATGGCTAGTCATTCAGTTACTTACTCCTCAGAAATTCCATAGTTTCAAAACTGACATCCTCATCATATGTTTTGTCATTCAGTGCAACACCAAACATCATTTCTGCAGAGATGTGAGTCACACCTCTGTGGAAAGCTTTCAATACAGAATATGTGAATCAGCCCTAAGAGTACCGACTCTATACATAAGCAATACCCACCACATCTTGGAAAATTCTTCTGAAAACAAAAAGTGATGATATTTTTATAGGTCAAATACAATCAAGGATTTTTGTGAATTCTTTTGCTATAGAAAGACAGAAGGAAGAAGCTATGTATTATTTAATGAGACAAGAAAAAAGAAGGTCCCTCCTTCTTTCAGTACACTCACTGGTTTGTTTCTTCCTTTTGAGACAACTGCTGGATTTCCCTTGCTTTCTGTTGTCTTCCTTCCTAATGAGGTAAAAGGCAGCGTTGAGGAGGTTTTGATGAGGTTTSCTGTTTGACAGTTGTTGTTGTTATTTTGGTTGCCACTCAGTGTCTCCATTATGGACCGAAAGGTTCCAAAAGGCCTTTTCAGCTGATCCCCTGCATGCTCCCCAGAGCTGGCCGGAGCCCGTGTGAGTGCTTTGCTCCGGTCTTTATCTTTTTCCTCATTCAGTTCTGACTCTGCTAGTTCCACCTGCACCACAGGCTCCTCGAAAGTTACTCGAAGTTTCAAATTTTGAGAGGTTCTGCGCTTTGAAGATGGAGACTTGAGAGCGCTCTTAGGGCTGGTGGCAACCTTCTGTGCAATGGCACTGTCTGTGCCAGATGGAGAGTTGTCTCCACTAAACTGGTTCTGAGGCACGGTACCACTGGTCTGATATGGGGCTTCGTTATCTGGGTCGCTGCTCTCCGAAGTAGGGGAAGGACTGTGGCCATCCACAGACTTAGAGACCCTGATACCAAAAGGGAAGCGCCGTCCTGCGGTGGAAGTGTGCTTCTTAAGCATCATGTTCAAACTCTCTGTACTCTCAACACTCTCCACTATAGGCTGAGGTCTTGGTTTGTCAGTTCTTTTCACAGAGGTGTTCTTGTGGTCCTCAGAATTAGCTGAATCTGTATCAGATTCGCTGAGAGATCTCTGCATCAGTTGCCTCAGTCGAGCCAACTTCAACTCCCTTTTCTCTGGCAAAATCTTCTTCACRTTCTTGGAGGATGCATGAGCATCCTGAAATTCCAAAGTCAGCTTTTCCTGCATACAGACATTTTCAGAGATTTCCTTCCCCAACAACTGGCGCAAGATTTTATCTGAGTCCTCATCTTTTATCTTAGCTCGAGCACGACTGGAAGTTCCTAAGCTGCCAAGAATCTGAATCCCATCTTGGGTGTTCAATTTACTTTTTGGTGGAGACAATTCATCTGCTTCAGAAGGTTTCCACTGGGGTTTGCCAGAAGCGGGAGATGATGGCAAGCTGATAGAAAAAAAGAAGAAAATGTCACAGCAAAATTAAGGCACATCTAAAATGCAAAACTGTCATTTCCAATGCATGTGTCTGTCTCAGCTTATTGTTAATTATCCTTTTCATCACTACTCATATGGAATTCATTACTGTGATGCCACAAAGCTTRCACAGAGAAGGACAAAACTCTGCTTTTACTCCTATTTAGAACTTGAGTATCTTTGCTATCTCTAACAAAAAAAAAACCCTCCTTAAAATCAAAACTTAGAATGGTTATTCAAGCACCAAATATGACTTTATGAGGAGAGCTCTAGAGAAACTACTCCTGTTTGTGTGAGTTGGCATATTTTAGAAGGCAGAAACCCCCACAAAGCCAAATGCCTACTATCCAAGTCACATCATAACACAAAAGTAGCTTATTCTAAGTCCTGTTAAAATACCACCTCTTTGCACAGCAACRATTTCATAAATCTAAACTTCATCTGGTATTAATAATAACCTCAAAAGACCTTATAAAAAGTCAGGGCAATTTGCACTCAAAACCTTTTCATRTACAAAATACTGAAAAGCAAGAGAAAAGTGAAATGAATGTATTTCAATATTAACAGAACAATAAATTAAATTTAAAACTCCAACTGTTATACAGCAAAGAAACAGCAATTTCAAGAATGCCTAATCTGTGAAAAACGTAAATTGCAGAGACCTTTACCTTTGACATAAGCTAGAGCTCATAACATTTCACATTCTTACTTTAAATCACTTTTCCTCTAAGCAGGACAAGATGACAAAATTCAGGTTTGTGCGAGGCAAGCAAAGAACTTGTGCTTAGATGAGTCTAAGCATAGATGAGTCTCATAGTTCTCACAGTATACAAAATTCATATGCTCATACTAGCCACCTCATTTGCAATTAATTTTATGCCTTTTTTTCCTGTGGCAAACTTAAACAGATACAGAAGAATATGCATTTATCTAAAGCACACATGCCTAGTAAAAGGGATACATTCTCTTAGGTCTGCTACTGCCTCCTTGGATGATGAAAATATCTACAAGTGAGTTCTAGCTAGAAGAAAAAGTATTAGCCAACTGAGAAATCAAATAAATAGAGTGTTATTTTCAGACTTGCTCACTATGCTAAAATGACATTGAAGCCTACACTTTTACAGGAATAATGAATRATGAGACATCTGCTTGCACCTGATCTTATCTGATACTGAAAGTAAAACAGTCCTGGTCCTCACCAGAACTCAGATGAGAGACCACTTGGAAAGATCAGTCGGCAAAAATCACAGAAACCAAATGAGTTGGAAAACAGCTTTTGGTCCCATTGCCTTCCCTGTGGAGCTGGCAGACAGGGAAGACAACGACTGATAAAAAAAGGCAAAAAAAAAAATCTTTCCAGTGGGGTTTTGTACTCCAGCAGCATTTACAGACCTTTCCTAGCTGCAGTTCTTTACACAAATGCATCTCCAATCCTAATGTGTTTGTTATCTACAATTGYAACTGTTTACACTTGTCTGAAAGAGCCACACATGAAATTCAGGGACATGGAGCACTTGTACAGAAAAATGCCCAAGATTCTKTGAGAATCAAAATAAAGCAGTCACTAACCCTACAAGCTCACACTTGATGACCCACAGCGCTGATCATCAATGACTGCAGAAGCTTTTATGGCAGCTTTACAGTTTCACATATATGTAGGTCCCTAACAAATCTGAAACAAGGAGAAGAACGGTATATGTCTTATGGAGAGGAAAATAGATTAAAAAATAATGATAAACCAAGTTCTATTTGCATGTGAGTCACTTTAGTTCTCTCAAAGTCATCTTCAGATTGCTGTGAGACTAGTCATGCTTGTTTCCTCTGCTTCCGTGTATTACATTGTCAGAGAGATCCCGTCCTCAGTCTTTACCTTCCTCCTACTTCATGTTTGAAACTTAAATCATGTGGTTTTTTTCTATGTCTCTTGACAGGATACGTAACCAATACATAAAATTTCCAAGTTCTGACTTTTGCTATAAGCTACAGCAGGTAAAAGATTTAATGAGTATAAGGAGCCYTATTAATATGAAAGCAAGTTTTGTCAGTAACTGGTAACTTAAAACTTACTGCTAAAAGTAATGTATGATAGACCACTAAAAGGTCAAACTCTACAGCTTTTCTAGGGATTTCTATGCTTTTCTCCTGTTCATCTAATTAAAAATATATTACATTCCACTGTAAAACTGGTTTTCACTCTACTGGGAAGCCTGAACTATTTAGTTCATACACACAAATTTCCAGTATTATCAACATTACTCACTGACAAATTCCAGAAACCCAGCTTTGAGTCCACAAGATAAAACCCCCACATTTTCTTTACAGAATACATCTACCATTTAGCCAGATCACAGCTTTTCCTGATAACTGATATATTATGAAAATGTGCAAATCCAGGCTGCAGTACAGTTTCAGTCACCTTACCTTGGGGACGTGGGCAGTGACTTGCCCTCTGACCGCTGGGCTTCTAAAAGCTGCTGGAGTTGGTTCTGTAATGTCACACGTTCCACTGTCTGCCTGCAAGAAAATGTAAGACTGTTTACCTCAAATCGCAAAACTGGCTGCACAAGCAAGTTACAGGAAAACTGATATTATCCTTTCAACTTTGTAATAAAGGAAGACGTCCTCTTCACCCTTTATGWAGTGAATAGAGAATTACAAATATGAACATAGAGAGTTTGTACTTTTGTCTGAATTTATGTTGACATTTTGTCATCACTGTATAAGAACAACAGAGAACRCCTTACTTGTCAGATTATTTATTATACTTCATACAAGGACGAGTGTGTGATCATAAGCAGCAGTGAAAGGAAATGGAGTAACTCAGACACAAAAATATGGCAAATTTAGGGCCATTTGTTTCTTGCTTATGGAACAGAATAAAAAGTGCACACATTAAGCAGTCAATTCCTATATTCCGTGGATGGCCTTTATCAGCTGAGCAGCAGCTCAGGCAACTTCTCCCTTTCTATTCGCAAATGAACTCAGAGAGGAGGTTCTGCCCACTGGAAAGGATTGGTCCAAAATTCAGCTGCAGGACGGAGTTAGATATATGACTTCTGTGCCACATCTGCTTATTGCCCAGCCTTACCAAAGGTCCTACCTGTGCTCTGCATCTACCCTATCCCAGTGCTACACCTACTCCAGTTTATCACTTTCAGTGTGGTGTTGTAAATTACACTGTTTTGCAAATAACTTTAGAAAACAACACTTAGAAAACCTCAATAGTACCTAAAAACTGTTAGTAATATGAGTAGTGCCAATAGCAGAAACTCCATTTACCATTTGTCATGTGCAATGCCATCTGTTGTCCTGCAACATACTTATTTTCCTAGGAAGGACTCAGCTGAGCATTATAAATTGCAAATCCTCAGGCAGTTCTACCAGAATGACAGATCAATTYATGACAAAAAGGTCTTTTCCTTTTCCCTGCTCCCATGCAATTCAGACACCCCACTCTCACATCAAAACACCCCTTTAGCTTGTTGACCACCACAGATAACATTCAATCTTGTTTAGTGATCTGTAATTTCCAGTGAACATAAACACTGCACAGACAGAATTATTGCAAAAGTATAGAAAAAAAACAACTATAGAAAACAAGAGATTTAGAGCTTTTTACTACTGTTCATATGTTTTCACCTGAAACAGAACATTGGGTTTTATTCCCTGGTCCTGACGAAATGACCATGGGACAATGACTTTTTATCTGCTTCTCCCAGGCTCTGCTTCTGTTGCTGTCTAAGTAATATGTTTTTAGTATTTTCATTCTTGTTGGAGTTGCCAAACTAAGGCAGTCCTCTAYCAGCAAGCTGGACACTTTCCTAGCTCACATGCCATCAGCACAAGATTTAGCTGAGTTCCAAATGCAGTCTTTATAACTGGCAATGTCAAAGCCAGAAAGAATCCAGATCACTTTTTAGACTAGAGGTTGTACTTGCAGGGCTGGCAGAAAACAAATGTTTTACTTTCAATATATCAAAGTGAGTTTGAAAAGTGCTACAGAAATAAAGGTGTGATCTTGACATACTGCCTTGCCATCGCATTTTACGATATAGCCATGCTTTATGCAGATCCTTTATTTCTTTAATTTTCCATCTTCTTTCCTCTGGCCTACACATTACCTTAGACTATTCTAAAATTACTCCTACCATCTGTCAGCATTAGCTTATATTGCAAGTCCCCAGATACTTTTTCACAAGAGCCAGAGAAATTTTCATTTGCGATTAGGTGGTGATGCAAATTATCTGTTTTCTTTTCCTTTTATCTYTCCTTCGCTTTCTATTACTAAATATCTAAATAAAGCAGCTGGTTTTTATGTTTTTAGCTTCAATGGAAATCTCTGAYGCATTGTCTTCTTGAGTTAATGTTCTCATTCCACTTAACAATTTATTGTGCTAAAAGAGTTGAAGTTTACTTCCCTTTCATAGTTTAACTGGTTAGTGCATAAGTCACTGACACCCACACATCTTGCCAGCACTATCCTAAAGATAAATAACATACACATACATATTCCAAGATAACATTGGAAACAAGGKATCACAACTTCTTGGAATAGCAATATTGCAAAGTATTAAAGCCGGACTGATGTAGGAGACAAGATCATTGAAGCTTCAGGAGTAAGAGGGTACACTTATTTTATTATAATTGATGGCCAGATTCTGGGGGGTTTAGCTTAGACAATGTTCCCAGTGAGTAAATGTAAGGACCCTTCTGTGTCTCCTTAAACATCTGAGGAGCCCAAACATCTCCTTATGAAATCAGGGAAATCGGTAACTGCAGAGGCACTGAGCTCCACTGGAGTATMTCTCATAGCATGTTTTCTTATTTCTCCAATTTTTTTCAAATAATCCAAGAATGACTGCTCTACAAAGCAGAACACAAAATYGCTTAACTAAGTAAAAAAGAGGTGAACATTGTAAAGTTTATACTGGGTTTCTTACTATATGTCTATATAAAGTGTTCTACCACAAAAAAAAAAAACCCCACCCAGCTGAAAAACCCCAACTTGCACACACCTTACCATACCACTACAGAGACTTTTTTCTTCAACTATTTTTATAGCTATTCCTACGAAGTTCCAGGAAAATAATGGTTTCTTCCATTGGAACATAAAAAAGTGTCCACAAGAGAGAATATTAAATTATTTTCTCAACTTCATCTTTTGATTTATGGTTTGTTTTGATCAGTCTCAACAGAGATTTTGGTGTAATAGGATATCAAAAGAACCAGTAGGTGTCTCATTCATTAATTGATTTGCCCATCCAGGTCCATAAATGTAGGACAGCGCAATTTGGAAATGCAGGTCTGTTGTCAAGCAGCATTGCATAAGAAGTCTATGGAAACATTCACTTTATGCCATTAATTCTGACATGGTCTCTTCAGATCAGGAAAGCCCGAATAATACAAGTGATACAGCATAGGAATTTTCTACACTGGCAACCATGGCTTTTTTTAGGCAGGTGAAATCAGTGTGAGAATAACTAAGACTTTAAGACCTATGAARGCCTCAGGAGGTAAAATTAAAGCAAATTATTTTGTATAGACTCTGTTTGTATAGTATGACTCTATGTGTATTATTTTGTATAGTCTCTAAACTTTTGTSACTGTCCTAAGTATTCTGGTTAGGCAAGAAAGTCATACTGGATTGAAAAAAAATCTGTAATTAAGAGATTTAAAGCAAAGCTTGCATTTTGAAGCCAGTAACAGCAGATCTTTGTGGGCTACTTTCCTTTCTACCTATGGAAAGAATCGCTTGGATTTTTTTGCTTTTGGAGAAAACTCTCAAAYCTCTCATGAAGATTTGATGGAATCTTTGCAATCCCCACTTATTTCCTTCTTCCAAATATAAAGGCTTTTGTCCCTGAATGGAGACTTAGACCCAGCTCAGAATATTTTTCCATATTCCTTTGCATTTGTCATCTGTGTTGCTTTGGTTCCAAGAACTGAAAGATGCAAAGACTAGAAAAATATGATGTTACTGTTTTCTTTTTGTGTCTTCCATTCAGGAATGGCTCCAAATACCATGATGGATTGGAATAACTTCTCTCTAGAACTCCTCTGTGTTGCTTGATGACTGGAAGAACTCATAAAAAGGGAATGAAAGATGATAGATCCTTCTTTGTGTTAAAACATATGCAGATATACATCTTGATAAGTGCTCATCTAAGACAGTTCCTTCACTGCTTTTCTTCTTGCAGAATATAAACCATTCCAGTCTTCCTGCGGTTGTGGAAATAACRGTATCAGATGATGCTCTTATATTTCATTAATAAGGCACTCAAAATAAAGAGGATTGAATCATCAGCTCATGCTTATGGAAGCTGAGGGAAGTCTTGGAAGCACATACAGGCTTTCATTGTTGAATTCACTRTTCATGTAATCCATCATGATGCAATCATATCTCTTCTGTCTCCAGAACAATGCTCATTAACCCTGGGAGAAGTAGACAGAGAAAATCCAGGAAAGCCAGCTCAACTACCCAAGCTGGGAGTTATTCCTACATAACAGCTGAAGTGACTTGGACAGTAAACTTGGCTTCCATCTGTTGACATCTGGTGTCTTCAGGATCTTCAGAATAGTTTTCAGGATTTTTAGAGCAGCTGCAGCCAGTGGATTCCCCCGCTGTGATCAAGGTCCCCTTGACAAACAGCTCCACTTTAATGTACTTCATACCATCCTTGCATTTTAGGAAGGGTGAGGACTGCAAAACAGGGCAAGAGTTTTCTTCCATCACCCCTTCTGTCTCCTGAGCAAGAGCCTCTGAACATGGTCCATTGCATCTATCAATGCCTCCATTGCCTGAGGCTGCAGCCCAAACAGCCACGCAGAAGCTGCTCCTTCAAGCAGAAAATAGATTATTTGAATGCCTCAGTAAACTGCAAAGTGTCGCAAAAGAGACTTGCATATCATTGTAGAGGAGGGAGAAAAGGCTGCTGTTGCACTTACTGAAACTAATCTGAAGCCTAAAAAACAAGCTGCTGAAAGAAGCAGATTCAACGCAAACTGAAACAAGCAAAAAAAGCCATCAAGAGCTAGATAAGAATAATTTAAATTACTTCCTATGGATGCGGTCTGTGACACAATAGTGGGGATACATGGAAAAATGTTAATGCTTTTGTAATGAAGTCACAACTATTCTGTGAGAGTAGGCATCCTGCTGACTGATGTAACAACTCCTTTTTTTCTGTACAAGAGGTACAACTTATATCAAGTACAGCGTGAGAACTTGAAGAGAACTGAAACATGGGTATTCCGTGGCTGCCACTTCTACTTCCTGGTGTGTATGTTTTTTCTTTGTTTTTTTTTCTGCTGAATTATGGGAGAAATATATTTCATTATATATTGATATGAGTCAGACGTTAATGCTGTCTTCCAGGGAAATGCCTTATGTTTATTTGTTTTGCTTTATGTCAGTTGATTGGATATTTCAGCAAATGGACCAGCTACAATGAGATACRTTGACATATCCAGGGAACCTTCTCYGCCATTCTCAGGCTTCGCTCCAGACACCTTCCCTCCCCTCTTGTCATTGATGCGGGTTATCCCCAGTCTTTTCAGCAAGCCAACATGCAGCACACATCAGGGTTCATGTGTAGCGGTTTCTCTCTGTTGCTCCTTTTTCCCCCACTCATSCCTTTCGAGGGATGTACCTGTTCTACCACTAGGCACTCAATAGGTCACAGTCTCTTTGGGGTTTGCCTTCTCCACCATGGTGCACTTCCAGCTCCTCTGACCTTGCTGYTCCTTCTGATTATCACTCTTCTGCTCTCTTCTCCTCTCTGGCATTTTCTGCTCTTTTTTAGATATGTTTTCACAGAGGTGCTACCAGAATGACAGGTGGGGCTTAGCTGTGTCCTGAAGTGGGTCTGTTGCAGAGAGTTCTGTCCAGCAAAGGGAAGCCACTCACCTGCTCTCACCAAGGCCACTCTGCAGCTCCCCTGCTAGCAGAGTATTGTAATTGGTACTCAATGCAATTAACTGCACATTGCTTGCATAAAATGATACAGTTTCCTCAAAAAATGRGGTTATCAGAAGCTCTTTCCATGGATTGTGATAGCTGACAAGCTTAGGCCAGTGCTGATAGTTTCTAAGAGTCTTATGAGAATATTGACATGTTAAATCACAGCAACTGCACTCACAATTAGAGCAAGCAATCAGAATAATTTGTGTTTCAAAATAATAGGCTCTTCACAGAATCTTTAATAAAAACCATACCAAAATATTAAACCCAGTTCATATGAAGAAATACAGAACAGAAGATATTTCCTGAGTAACTATTGTAAGTCTTGGTGACCTTCCAAGTAAAAACATCTCCAACTACTATTTCAACTATTCCTCCCAACATCAACACCCAGCAGTGTAAGTGGGAAGAGCCACTCACTGTATAGAAGTGCATGCTATACGAACAGAAATGATGATCTGCAATGGTGTGATTGCAAAATATAAGTAAAGGGAAAAGGGACTGGATTGCTTCATACATACCGTTATCAGCTGCCACTCCCTTCATCTGTGTTCACAGCAAACTGCCACAAAAAGAACAGCTGAAAAACTGGGCTGATAAGGGTGAAGGGACAAATACTTGAGAGCAGGAAAGGGTGGAGAAATTAGATAGAAATCTGACTTGAAAATGTCATTTATCAGAAGAAAAAAACAGACACCGCTAATAGACTAAAGATGAAGTATGGTATTGTTTTAAGATCAYTCCATTCTTGCTAACAATGGAACACTTACTCCTTCAGCTGCTTAGTCAGCTTCACAACCTGAGAGGCCAGTGACATACATGTCTCCACAACTACCAAGTAGCGGGAGCACATGGTGTGCCCGTGTCGCTCCGCACTTTGTGAAGGTTTCTCTCCCACGTGGTTTTGCATGGTGACATTTGCTCCATATTCAACCAATGTCTGTAAAAACATGAAAGGGAACAGTGACATCTGTAATTGTAAGTCTCTCTGCTGTGACTTCTGATCAGGACAAGAATGGTTTGACACAAACCACTCCTAAATAAAATGCTTGAAAACATTAGTCTAAGCCAATAATTTTTAAAATTCAATCACTGACAAATCTGTATGCAGCTTGAATTCAAACCACATACTAATGAAATCTACCTCTCAGGTGACACGACAACATAGAAGAGCAAGCTGCAGTTCAGAAGAGCCATAAAAAGACTATATTTTATATATTTTTCCTTCCTCTCCTTTTGAAGTTCTACWCAATTAATTTATTTTCTGTTCATTTATTTGTAGAGCAGAACATCACTTGCAGCATTCACACAGTGAGTGGGACTRCCACATGAAAACAGGGGACTTTCATTTGGCCACCTATTGATTCTTTCCTGCAACACAGTAATAAACTTTTTCAGATGCACCTAACCATGCATTACAGAGCATTGTGATAACTTTACACATGGCAGACCTAGAAAAGAAGTCACAGGACATCTAGATAACATCAGGGTCCAGGGGAGTGTGAACACATTGCTCGCCAGTTTATAGTGGGTGCTGATGAACTGTAATGGCTTACCAGGTCTGTTCTTGGGATCTCCACACCGCAAGGTATTGCAACACACCCTTAGAATTTCATTTTAGCAATGTCTTCGCTACAGTATCTGCTAATTCTTTGTGTGGTTTAGCTATCCATTCTCTATCACAGCAGAATCCCTATGTTTAAAACACCCAGAAGGGCAGACCCAGTGTCCTGATTCCTCAACCAAGCAATGATGTGCCCCATGAAAGACAGGGCAAATAGGCACACATTTCATATTGCAGATACAGAACTGCACAATGACTTTATCAATCTGGTATTTTGGGGGTTTGGTCACTGTGGCTTTTTAATGCTGAGAGAAGTCTCATTGCTTTGCACTTACTTGGACAGTCCCTACTTTCTTGTGAAGACCCACTGAAATATARTGTCTTGTACTCTGATGCATATCCCTGTGTTACAAACAGAACCAGCAGGGAACGCTAGCTTGCTGCTGGAGAACCACGCAGGCTGTAAGCATGACATTTGAGTTACTGGAGACTAGAATAAACAGTGTTCTATGGGCAAAAGAAATTTTGTCAAACTTCTGTCAGACTGGTGTCCTCCTCAATAACTGAAGCAAGACTTGAGACCAAGYCTTCTTCCCTCTTTATGATCTGTTTGTGTTAGGAGCTATTTGAAATACTGGAGGAGGGAGAATGGAACCTAAATATTCTTAGCAATGCTTTGACACACACTGATTGCCCCCCCCCATCCCCCATCCCCTTTGGAAAACTGATCCTATACACTCAGAAACGACAGCATTATTAACTTTGTGCATACACATGCAGAAGAGGTTTTGCATGGGTGAGCTCTTGGTTGACTTATCCAAGAAGAGCTGGTAAACCACTGAGGATTGGAGTGACTTTGTTGACCACAAATAGCAGACACAGAGACCTCTGTATCTGCTGACAAAGAAGTGGAATGGGTGGTCTGTCTGTTCTGCTAAAACCACACAGAAAGGAAAGTTAGGAACCTTTGCACTGCATCTCATATCAACAGACTGGTCTTGATCCATCAAGAAAGAAATCAAAGGAGTGTTATGACCTTGCAGAAAGTAATCAAACAGTTTGAAACATGACAGGACTGTCATCTGCTCATAAACAGTGARTAAGAGGGCCAGAGAATCACCAACAGCCTGTGATTCTTCATTTTTTATGCTGCTGCTTATAGTTTCCCTGTTTCTTTAATCACTTCTTTCTTCTTACCAGATTATTCACTGCACATTCTTTTAAATTAGACTATAATATTACTGGGCACATGGCTTATTTTGTTTCACAGCACAACAAAATATCAACTACACTTAAGACTGCAAGGTGTTAGTGAAGTGATATTATTAACATTGCCTATTTTTATCACCACTACATATTTTCATGACTTATTTCTCATGGCCCCACTTCAACACAAAGCACTTGTTGAATTGCATATTTACCTAAAATAAAATAATCTTAGGAATTCTAGGCCATTTATTAAGGCTATTCTTCACAGGGAAACCAGGACTAGTCTCTTTTTTGCTTAATTTTATCTGTGAGAACAGCCTGCAGATGTCACTACTCTGCTCAAAATCATCTACACTCATTTCTCCTTCAAATGCATTGCACATCTTGATGAGGCACTGCTGAGATAGCAACCCTAAACACACACTCCACAGAAACCCTGAGCACACCCTTTACCACAACAGTCCTCCCCACTAGTAAATCATAAACTTGTCTTCATCCATTTTTTTCCAACTGATCACAGCAACTGGCCACAGGACAATAACCAACCCACCAGATACAGCGTGGATGTGACCATTTGTTGATTTCATTCTCCTATGAGCTTGTATAGGATCCAAAAAATACATCCCCTCAATAAGAAAATGCAGAGATAGTCATGTTCTCCAAATATATTTGACTGTCTTCAAGTCTGTTCATTCAGCTAAACCTGTTTTTCTTTTTTTATGATGCAATTCTCTCAAACTGGCTTTTATGGACTTATGTCTTCTTGGTGTCCAGACGTATAAATAGATTGCTATAACAATAATAAGCAGCTCTGCAGCTGTAGATTCAATGTAAAAGTGTACACAGACATACTTAGCTCTCTGAAGTGGTTAGCTAATTCAAATTCATTAACTGTATTTTTTTTAGCATTGGACTAATACAAGTGTTCTGTATTTGCAGTGGCCTGAAAGGTGATGTGGATCARTTCATGTTCATCAGGACTAATATGTTTGCTGACACATATCTGAGTCATTTGGGAATTACTGCTCCTTCTTAGACATGTTTTCCTCCCCTACTTGACCTAATGAGTTTAATTTTTATTCCTTGCCTTTTTGCCAAGCCATTATTAGCTCTTTTATCTGTTCTTCTCCAATGACTATTAGTTTATCAAATAACTCTGCAATTTCCTGGAATACTTTTATWATTACTTCTTCTCCAAATAGCTTTTACTCAAAGTACTCAAAATGCCGACAACACAAATACTGAAATGTACTCCTGTGACGAATGGTTCTAGCAAATCTGATGGACAGATAGTACATCTGCAAATTAACACAAAGTTGTTTCACCTTCAATAATTTACCAGAAGAGCTGAACATCCAGGGAAGTCCTAGTGACTGGAAGTTGCCAAATTGGGCCCCTATCTATAAGAAGGGTTGGAAGAAGGATCCAGGGAAGAACAGGCCTATCAGCCTGATCTCCATGCCAGGGAAGTTCATAGAGCAGATCATCTTGACTGTCTTTATACAGCAAGTACAGGACAATCAGGAGACCTCACCCACAGCATGGGTTTATGAGAGACAGGTTCTGCTTGACCAACCTGATCTCATTCTGTGACAAAATGACCCACTTAGTAGATGAYGAAAAGGCTGTGGATGCATTTACTAGATTTTAGTAAAGCTTTGACACTGTTTCCTGCAGTATTCTCCTAGAGAAACTGACTTTGCATGGTCAGTGAGTGAAAACTGCTGGGTGGCACCGCTCTGGGAATGGTGGGGAGTGTATTTACATCCTGACTGTGACCGGTCATCGGTGCTGTTCCCCAGGGCTCAGTGCTGGGGTCATAATCAACATAATCAAAAACACGGATCCCCTGATCAAGATCATCCTCAGTAAGCTCATAGACTACAGCAAGCTGGGTGGGAGTGTTGATCTAYTGAGGGCAGGAAAGCTCTTCAGAGAGATCCGGACAGGCTGGATTGAAAGGCTGAGGCCAACCAGATGAGGCTCAACTGCACTTGGACCACCCAAGCAACACTACAGGATTGAGGCAGAGTGGCTGAGAAACKGCCAGCCAGAAAATGACCAGAGGGTGCTGTTCAACAGTGGATGAACATGAGACAGCTGTGCCCAGCTGGCCAAGAAGGCCAAGGGCACCCTAGCCTGTATGAGCAATAATGTGGCCAGTGGACACTTGTGAGGCCACACCTTGAGCCCTGTGACTAGTTCTGGGCCCCTCATAACATGAAAGACAATGAGGGACTGGAGCATGTGCAGAGAAGGGCAACAGAGCTGGGGAAGGGTCGGGAGCACAAGTCCTGTGAGACTGAGGGAGCTGGGAGTGTTTATCCTGGAGAAAAGGACTGAGTGGGGACATTGCTCTCTACAACTACCTGAAAGGAGGTTGTAGCCAGGTTTGACCTCTTTTCCCAGGTAACAAGTTAACAGGATGAGAGGAAGTGGCCTCAAGCTGTGCCAAGGGAGGTTTAGATACGATATTAGGAAAAAAAGTCACCGAAAGGATTGTTAAGCATTGGAACAGACTGACCATTGAAGTGGTGGAGTAATTGTCCCTGGAAGTGTTCCAAACCAGTGTGGATGTGGCACTTGAAGACATGGTTTRATGGTGAACATGTTGGTGGTGCTAATTTAGTCAGACTTGATGATCTTTGAGGTCTTTTCCAATCTTAATGACAGTATGGTGCTGTGACTCCATGGCTGCCATTGAGTTCAGCATGAATTTTTTGGTATGTCCGCATTGAACACAAGTACTGGACAGAGGTATCCAAACTGGTTCATTCAGATCTGGCTCCAGTAAGTACTGTGGTTGTGAGCCTTCTCAGCTGGACAAATTAGCACTCTAACACCTCTACACAACAGAACTGTTTCGCCTTCAGTGGCCAAGATGATTCATCAAGAAACAGTTAGAAATCAGCATCACTCTTCATTGTATAGCACAGATTCATTCCAGGATAAGTCAGAAAAGGATGATTTACTCAAGGTGTAAATCCTTCAACAAACCTATTTCTTATATTCTCCTAAGCTGGAAAGCTACAACTACCAATGGAAAAAGAAACAGAAGGAGAATATCAGAGTAATAAGAAAAGTATGCATATCTGCACTGGCTGTCCTGGTGTAACACAAAAACATACACACAAGCTGTTTATGTATAAACAATATAATCATCCTTTCATCTTGCAGTACAAGTTAGTTTAGGCTTGCAGCAGCATTACTGAGAATAGAATCAAAAATCCAGAACTTTTTGGTATTTGTTTGACTACTATGGTTTAAAGTTCTTCTTCTCATATAATTTAATGTATCAATAATTATTCCCACTTAGATTTCCAATAATAATTTTTAGTTGTTGTCATTCAAGCCTGAAGTTTAGAGGTTTCTGCTATCACTGTACCTGTATGCATCCTAGATAGCCATGCTGAGCAGCTATGTGAACAGCAGTATTTCCATCCTGGTCAACTTCATCCAGTGAAATCCCTTGCTCTTGCATGAACTGAAGAAGCCACAGAAGGATTTTCTCCTAGGGGCAAAGAAATGTCACAAAAGATAAGAAATAATGAAAAGCTAAATATACTAGAGGAAAACTGGTCCTCTCATCTGTTACAAATATTATMCATTAATTCTTTGTTTTCAGTCTCTCTTTGCAGGACTTAGTGCATGATGAAACTGGTTTGGTTTTTGGGGGGTTTGGGGTTTCTTTTTTCCCCCTAAGGGAAAAAGCYGAAATACTTAATTTATGGAAGATGTAATAGGAAATAAATGAGTATTGTAACACTGTACTGTAACATTCTGAGAAATCGTACAAAGAGACTATTTGTGCCTCTGTGTTGTTGATGAAACCTGAGGCACAGCAACCCATATATCAATCTGAAAATCAGGTTGTGAAATTTGGTCAAACTTCACAAGCCACTCTGGAAAAATAAAACAGAATTACACTCAGATGACAGAGCTGAGCAGTAAGATTCTTTAAATCTGTAATCATTCCTCATCTCTTTGTGGTTGTGCTAAAAAAAAAAACAACTAAAACCAGAAATAATCTCAGTGTATTGACTCATGGACTATTTGTATGTCCTGTATGTTGGGAGACGTGGACTGCAAAAACTTGTCACTGAAAGTCTGGAAGCCAAAACTGAGGTRGAAACTTATTTCTTTTATAACATCAGTTTTTATGCACGTGTATAGATGCAATACACATATATTCGGGTTTTCTTTTCCAACAATGGAAAGTTATATAGTGCACTAAACAGGTTTATTTGGAAAAAAATCCCTTTTCTCTGGGAACTTTCCCTGCCTCTCCAGATTACATTTCATTTTGCCCTACTGAATCCGATACATACTGAAAATCTAGAATAAATCTACAGARTACATAGAAAAGCAGAGTCCATTAAATGGCAGCTGACTACAGATCATTCCCAGTTTTCTCTCTTAATAGGTGAAAACACTAAATTACTTACAGATTAAAACTTTTTTTATTTAAACACTTTTTTCTTTCAATATATTGCATTGATATTTCTCATGTGTTATACTGACTCAGAGCCCCAGTTCAAAGGGGGCTTGTGGATTTTGGTGTTGCTGAGGCAAACACTGATCCATGGACTTAACCTGCAGSACCTCACCTTATGTGTCACCTTCAGTGACACATAAGTACATAATCACCCAAAATCACAAATGTGGAAAATGAAAGTATATCTAAATTAAACAGTATTGAAAGCACATATAGAACTCTGAGCAGTAATTAAGTAGAAAAGAGAAATAACAAAAATGAAGAAAATTTGAAAAAGCTTGGATATAAGCTTGTAAATTTTTGTGTAAAAGTACCACAGAAATTTTAGTCTCAATGAAAAGGAGAGGGATTGTCAGACTCTTCTAGAGCTACTCTARATTATTCAAGCATCTGGGTCTATACTTACTACTTCAGAGGGTACTCTGAGTTATAWTCCTTTTATCTTCACTTTAGCAGCAATTTCATTCTTATCACAAGGTGAAGGCATAGGTATTTTGACTTTTCCTTGACTGAATGCCCAAAACGGCTGACAGCCAGCTTAGAGAGATGACTTCAGATCACATATCCCTTTAAAAATATTTTTGAGCAATTTCTCAACATGCTGGTTATGTTGGCCAGCAATGAAGAAGCATTATACGACTCCTATGAATTGCCCCTATGTTTTAATAATTAAAAGAAAAATATTTTAGCAAAACTTATCTGCAGAACTGGAAGACAACTATAGCTTTGAAAKCATATATTTCTTTGAAACATAATAGGGAGAATGTTAAGCATGTTCTATAATTTTATGATCACAATCAGCATGGAGCAAATGATGCTTTCTACTCATTTATCTTTACAACAAGGAATTCAAGTGGCTGAGTGGCTATATTCAATCATCTGCACTTAGGAATATCTGTGCATCAAATCGTCACAGGCACAAAGTCATAGCTCTACTCAAACAGTCTGTGTTTCAACAAATTTACCCTTGATCAAAAAACCCCAAGAAACTAGGGGGAAAAAATCATCATATATCCAAGTATACCACATATCACTTTACTAACACTCACATTATGTATTTGCAAGAAAAATGTTCTCAGGAATAAATTTATTCAGACAATTTATTCATACAAAATGAAAGATAGTAAGAAAATTCATCAGCTTAAGATAATGGAAAATAATCACATTTTTGTTAAGTAACAGGAATTGATAAACACTAATGAATTATTCAGTACATGTGTTATGTTTAAAACCTCCAAAGTTCTTATGCTTTAGCAGTTATTAACATCCATCTGGCATATTCTAGACCTATAATAATTCAAACTCCCCTACAAAATTATTTCAGGAAAATTTGGGACATACTGCTGACTTTTGTTCGGAGGATTTTTGGAGAAGAAAGTACAACTAACATGGACCATTTAAATCATTACATGGCCTAAAATGGGAAGGGTTAGCATGCTAAAGAGTACTGGACTCAACAACTAATCTTAGCCTATCACTTGATATTAATTAATGAAGCTGGCCTTTCCCATATCCCTTCCCAGAAGAGGAGTCAGAGTAAGTGAAAATAACACATTACCCTTGTAAAAATTATATAAGACAGAAATGCAAACATGCTGAGGTGTAATAAAAAGGTGTTTTATTAGGTATCTGCATATCTGAATGTCATGCACTCCTCCCCACTTTGCTCTCCAGAACCATACCACCACTAAGGTGCACAGGATCCCTTCTAGGTCCTTAGTCATGCTTTAGGCTGGTTCCCCAAAGTCCCCCTACATTCTCTGGAGCTCAGAAACCACAAACTTTGGGCATTCCCCRCCCTCTGCCTCACACCTGTGCAGTCCATACTCCCACAAGGTCACTGTCAGAAGGTTTTTCCAGCCCTGTGAAGCTCTTAGCTGGACTAGGATGATGTGCACCTAKGACTGCATCACCATCTTCCTGTGACATGGGGACTGTACCAGGCACAGCTGGCATGCCCTATACTCATGACTTATGCCCAGCATGAGGACACCTGCCAACCATCATGGTTTCTCTTGCATAATCTCATGCTTGAAGAAACCATTGTTCGGCGCTATGCTGACCAGGCTACAGGTTGATTTTGAGCTTTCATTCYCTTCAATCATATTAATTTATGTGGTCTCTCTGTCATTGGAAAAACATGATGTTGCTGACATGTCCATGGAGACAGGCCATGACTGTAGTTTGATGAMCTTTAACATAACAGCTTTGCTATGAACTCCCTTATACTGCTCATTCTAAATTATAATTCTTGAAGAAAAATATGGCGTGCATGTCTAATGTCTGGGGAAACAATGGATGAACTGACTCTTTTAGAACAGTATTCAATAACAGGTCTTCCTTGTAAAAATATTACTCTTGTAATTCTGCCAAGACCAGTGTTTACATGGATTATCTCTCATGTAAGTAACGGTAAAATAAATTAAAGCTTCAAGGACAGCGCCAAGTATGCATTTAAATTTCTCAAAGTTTTTTTTTTTCCTTAACACAGTTGGGTAAGATAGTCTGGCAGCCCTTCAGCCTCAATATTCCCTCATGTTTGCAGGTTGTTTATGGATTTAAGAAAAACCCCATAATTGACATTACATATGAACTTTCTTTGGTGTTCAACTAAGAAAATTTGTCACTAATTTATATATCACCTTTTCAAATTTCAAATGGGTGGCTGATTATAAGCCAGTGTTTCTTAAGTGGTAGAGCTTCCGTTCTGCTCTGAAAAGAATCTAGATAAAGTGTGCTAGATCTGTTTCTGGCAGTAGATAGCATAGCTCACTGAAAAAGCCCAAAGCTTCACTGGCTTTAGTTTATATAAATATCTGTAAAGATGAGGACAAAATTAGGTTAATCAAGCGAAGATATGAATTTAAGTTCACATGCAACTTTTTCTTCCAAACTTTTTCTTCCCAGTAGCGAACACTCTTTTCTTTAATCCAGTTCTGATCTGGCTCACATTTTCCCCATCCTGAGTGCTGGAATTACAGTAAACTTGCTGACTCCATAATCTGTACATCCAGCAGGGTCCTATCTCGCACCAGTAACATCTGCATAGTAGGTGAGTGAAGAAAAAGGAGGTCTTTGCACAGCATGAAAACAAGGGTGTCTGTGTGCCTATGGAAACAGCAAAAGGAAGGGCAGACTTCCAGCTCCATAGCCTTCCAAACCTGCCTCCTCTCTTTCCTTTCCCCTACAGTAAACTCATGCTTGGACAGAAGAACTTAGCAGCAGAAATATTGCAGAATGTTTGTATGGCATTGAATGAGACAACTACACTTACGCAGCAAAGAATGATTTTCTTGGTGCTTATATTTTGTTTGTTCTCTCTTAACGAGGGTAAAAAATATTAGCACAAAATCAATGAGGTTTGCTGTCCCTATCCCTGTCTGGGGGATTGGAACTAGGAGATTGGAACTTCAAGGTCCCTTCCAACCCAAACCATTCAATTATTCTGTGATTCTATGATTTATCTTTAATGTCTGTTGAAGAAACTGGGAGATAAAATGGTCCATCTGCCAAAGAGTTTAGACAAGAATAACTGATCCCTACTCCTTCCATCCTGGAGAAGCTCCCTTGAAGAAGGGTTACTGCAAGGTCTGATTAAGAAAAAACAGATGTTGTGGGAAGAGAATGTAGTGTAATTAAGTGGCATTTATGTTCCTCCAGTTATTAACAAAGCACKAGAATGCTGTACTTCAGTGGTGTCTCATCATTATATTAATAGGTAAGTTAGGTGTGAAACAGGATTRATTTACAGTTGGTTCAGTTGGCTAAAGCCTGGTGCCAATGAGARAAAGCTTGTGGGAACAGTCCCCATATGGGCCATTTATTTAAGAGTTGGGCTTGATGGTCCTTGYGGGCCCCTTCCAACCTAGAATATTCTATGAATTGACAACATATTTTTATATGCAGTTCAATGAAAGGGGCTAAAGCTAGATAGATGATGTTCAAGTTCTACCATCCTTCACAGCCAATAAAATGAATTCTTAAATTGCAAAATTTTTTTGAGATTAGTCTCTCCTGGAAAGAGTATGTGAACTATCCCAAAACATTTGCTGCTCCTCTAATGTGTCTTATGAGTCCTCTAGACGACACCTAATTTCCACAGATGTTCTTGGGATCTACTGGTTGGCCAGTAATCTTCACCTTGCCATTACTCAAAGTTTATAAAACAAAAACCAACCTACCAAACAAACAAACAAACAAACAAACAACCTAAGAGAGAAAATGCTGAAAAAATTACACAGATTAAGTTGAGAAAGATTTTGCTGTACTTGAACTAATTCAGAACACCTGTAATTAAAAGCTACAAAATGACACACATGCTTTAATYAAAATTATTGTATAAGAATCTAGGTAATCTATTTGAAAAAGTAATTGAAATTCATACCTGGCCATAGCAACCTGCGTAATGAATAAGGCTTGGGTGGTCTTTTGAGCAACTGAGTTCCGCAATGGCTTCTGTTTCGCTCACCATCCATCTAACGCACTCCARCTGACCATTCTAAACAAGAAAAAAACCCCAAAAAACTAAATTCCAGCTGTCTCTATCCCAAACACATTTACTAAAGAGAGAAAAGCTTATCGGAGCTATTAAAATTTCCAGTTTGCTTAAAATTGAAAGAATAAGCCAATGAAACCTTTCATCATTTTCTCCAGAAAGGCTGGCTTAATTGGCTTTCACAGAAGAAAGTAATTCACAGAAGAGAGTGTAAATGTGACAGAATTCTTCTATAAGTGAGGGTACTCCAGCACCAGTATTTCTAATGATGACCTGCRTGACTGGACTTGTCCTCGGTGTTTGCAAAGTTCTGTAAGAGCTTKTAAGTGATGTGGAATAATTAAATTTTGTAGCTCCTAATCCTTACTTCCAGAGTGGTTTTCAACACTCACACAATGGCATTTATTTTTCTCGTTCTTCTTCATATCATTGTAACTCACATAATGTTATAACATGTGGGGTGTGCACCTATTCTCCACAGAAGTGGTAAGTATCACAATATATTGGCTTACAAACATATTATATACCTAGCTTGAAAAAACAAGAAAGGAAAGTAGTTGAAATTTTGTAAGGCTTTAACTTGACAAACTGTAACTATACAGTTTGACATGGGCCAAGATATTGAAGCATTTTGTTAGTACAACAAGGYAGCAGTTCCAATTTCTATTCATAAGGTTTGACCCAGAAAAATCAAAAAACCCAACCCTCCACCTGCATGAGAGCCCTGGGTCATTGAAATTATGTCTCAAATATGCAAAACTGCAGGTTCAAACCCACCAAACTTTTCTCAGTTGCAAAATCTTTTCCCAAGTAGAAAATAACAACAACCGCCCGGAAGAAGCAGAAACTCTTGCATTATACTTCACCCCTTCCCTTTTTCACTCTTAAGGTACTTAGAGGATAAAAGGAATGACAGACAACCATTCAGTCTCTCTTACCAAAGAGCCTGAATGACTGTAGTTAAATCATTAGCCTTGCTGTACTATCTTTTATTTTAGTGTAGTAACACCATGAATTTTCATACCTTCCTACATAATAAGTTTCCCTGTAAACTTGGACTTTAATTTTTCCAGATTTTAACAGGTTGCTCTGCAACACATACATATATTTTAACTTTGATGCAACTGCTTTAGACAACCAGGAATTTTCACCTCAAGATGCTTTTAAGCTTTGTAAGCATGTTTCCACACTTGTCTAGCAAGATTATACCAGTATTTGAAAAAAACACCCAAGAAAATGTTATGTTCCCTAAAGAAACAACTAATTCCAAGTTAAGTGAAAGCTTCTTAAAATGTAACAAATAGACTTCAGAGTCAGCAGACTGATTTAAAAACTAATGTATATGCATCGACAGCAACATAAAAATTGTCACAGTGGATATTACATATTGTGCAGTAATCCACTTTATTTTGTTTACATAGTACCAGCCAACAGGGCTTTTTTTCTCACTTAAAAAGCTTGAAAAATAACATCCTGATGCACGCATTTCTTACTGGCATCACAGGAGGAAATTAAATGACCTTTATGATACATTACAGTAGAAAAAAGAGCTTGTTACCTTTATTGCTAATCCAGCTGGAGTTAGCTGCTCAATGTTTCGCTCATTCAAACAGTCTTCACCCATCAAAGAAGTGAGATGCTGCAGGCATTCTGCATGTCCCTTTGATGCTGCTACATGCAACAGATTGTTGTCACATTCATCATGGATTTTATCCAGATTATCTGCTGCTAAATGTGGCTGTCAAAAAAAGCGTATGTTAGTTAAACTAAGGATAGAAAGATACATTTATCCTCACAGCCCAAGACGCAAGCCAAACACAAGGAGGTTTCCCAAAAGGCATGTTCTTTTATGAGTTAAAATCTGGAACTTTTCATGTCACTGTATATAACCTGGCTACTATTAGCATAAGCATAGAGGTGTAATATTCACTGGCTTGATTGGCTGTGAAGCTTCTTTCCTTCTCATGCAATTGTCATACAACAGTGCAAGATCTTGAGTGGCTCAAAGCCTTTGCACTAGTCTGGTCAATGCAAGCAAATATCTACAGCTGCAAAAAAAAAAAATCTACATTTTCATAATTTCTGYCTATTTTGAGTTTTCTCTCCTTTTTTCTTGCTTTTTTCTGGCATTATATTCATGAGTAGTTAAAGAGAAGGCATCCATGACTTCTGAAAGACATTCCTGATTAATTTTGCTTATCATGAAAGTCGTAACTTGTGTTAAGCACCATTCAAAATGCAGTTAAAATACATGACATAAGACTTTTATGCGATACCTTGTTTCCATGAAAAAAAATGTTGGGATATTCACCCTAAGTTCAACACCACCAGGATGTAATARATTATTTCTGCCCAATTCTAATTTAGAGACAAAATACTTGGATTGAGAAACTCCAAAAGGAAGACAGAAGATTGAAGACAGAGTCAAGGAGTAGCAATAACTAAGTTCCTAGAGTTGTGCAGTCTTGCCAGACTATTGTTCCATGAGCGTACTTCATGAAGAAGTTTCAACCAGTTTGAAACAAAACCATGTTTTCTTACCAATGATGAACATTCCCCTCCTGCCATTCCTATCGCAGCATGAATTTAACTTGCTTTTATCTCTTAATGAGCAATCTAATACTGTCTTCTGCMTCTGTCTAGTTTTGAATATCTTCCTTTGTTCTTGTTTCTATGTTAATAGCATGTCTTTGTGCTTGAGCTAGACTGGTAAACAGAGAAGCTGAACAAAAATCTAACAAAAACAGTTTTTATGCATACACTGTGCCTTCACCAGCTGTTCTGTGAAGAGATCACATGCTCTGCATCATTGTGCTAACTTGCAAACAGTTACTTTGGAAACCATCATTGACAGTGCTAATCACAGTGCTAGATTTACTAAAAAAACTTCATATGGGTTAGAAGCCAACAAGGCTTTAGAGAAAGCTCCTGCCTGAGAATGCTGCTGCAACAAGACAGCATAAACACTCCTGAATAATAATCAGAATACAACAGAAGCCTCTCTGTTCCCATTATCAACCCCTACATAACAACTGCAGTAAACCAGCAATTATTGAGCAAAATGACCCACAAATGTGACAGGCAAAACTCAGTTAGTATTTGAATTTTATATTTAAGACATCCTATTAGTTAAAATATCTGCCTTCTTTATAATTTCAGTGTACAGTACAAAGCAGCAATCTTGGCCATGCATACACAAAACTAGTTTCTTGGGCTTGCTGCATATTTTATTTAAATATTAATGCTTTCCGTGTGGGAACCCATATGCTCTATTTCTAAAGAGTGTACAAGATAAAAAGGGCAGTGGTTCAAAACACAAACTTCATCAGGTTAGCTGGCTTAATAAAATACATCGTAGATCCCTTTTATTCTATGTTTTTTATGAAAAAGATGATACTTACCAGTAAAGATATTTGGCCTTCCTTTACAATGTTCAAGATGCTCTTAATTTTTTTCACTTCTTCATTCCTCTCTTCTGGGCCCCCTGTGCTGCTCCAGTTCATACTCAGCTCCTCTAGCTGCTTGCTCTCTGCCACTGCTGTCTGCAGGTGGAAAGTCCTCCGGTGGCAGTTTGGCATAGCCTTATCAGCTTTGTGAACATGAGGATCAACAAGTGTCCTGCTGAGGAAGCCCTTGCCTTGGGCTTCAGATTCATGGACTGAGCCACACTTAACTAAAGGCTGGGAAAGCTCTAATTCTTCAGCTGAATGCTTGTGCTGATCAAGGACAATGGGCTGCGTTTTTCTCAGCTGAGCGCCTTTCACAGGAGACAGCACACAGAACTGCGTCCCGCCAGCAGGCGAGCTCTCTGTGCTTCCTGCAGAACAGGTCTTGCCACTTAGACCATTCACTGTTGAACATGCACTCAAAAGTTTTTTCTCAGGAGCTACCTTTGTAAAAGGAACAGGTTGTTGACTTGATTTAATATAAGGCACATCCAAAATTTCATCCATATCCAGGTCATAGTGCTCCAGCTCCCCAAGCAGAACAGCAGGCTCGGTGCTTTTGTTTTTAAGGCTCTCTCCCTCTCCTGGACTCTGGTCATCATTTGGAGGTGCAGATTGACAATCACTGCCTTTCTGGTATTCTCCCTTCTGGTTCTTCTGGTCATCACTTTCATTGTTCTCAGAGCTTTCYGGCTGGTGCTTTAATGGGGAAACTCTCTTCACTGGTCTGAATTTATTGCACATATCTGCAATTCCTGTTGGTTTCTGTGCATTTCCAAGAAGAGTTGAGACTCCACAGTTCCAGCTGCTGCTGGAAACTAGAGAAATAGAGGAATTTGATTTAGCAGTGATTGCTGTGCAAGATGTGACATGATAGCATGCTTTAAAGACATACCTGGCCAAACAGTGAAAACAAGAATTAYATGATAATATGCCATAGTCATATCAGATTTAATGGCAACTCTATCAAAACGGAAGAATTTGAGATTCCTGAAACTTCCTTCAAGRATATGTATTGTAATCATTACCAATAATTACTTCTCATCAAGTTCTAATGAAGAACACAAGTTGCCCATGAGCCAACAATGTGTGCTTTTGCCCAAGAGGACCAATGGTATCCTGGGGTGCTTTAGGAAGAGCATTGCCAGCAATGAGTTAGAGGTGAACCTCCCCCTGTATTTGGCCCTGATGAGGCCACACCTGTAGTGCTGTGTCCAGTTCTGGGCTCCTCAGTACAAGAGAGACATGGAGCTCCCGGGGTGGGCCCAGCAGAGGGCTGTCACTACTAAGGGACTGGAGCATCTTTCTTACCAGGGAAGCTGACGGAGCTRGGCCTGCTCAGCCTGGAGAAGAGAGAGCTGAGAAGGCACCTCATCAATGTCTGAGTATCGGAAGGGAAGGTGTCAAAATCATGGACCAGACTCTGCTCAGTGGTGCCAAGCAATAGGACAAGAGTCAACAGGCAGAAATTGTACAGGAAGTTCCACATGAACATCACAAAAATTATTTATTGTGCAGGTGAGTGAGCACTAGAACAGGTTGCCCAGAGAGGCTGGGGCGTTTCCTTCACTGTAAATATTCAAGAAGCAACTGGATACAAACTTGTGCCATGTGCTCTGGGATGGCCTTACTTGAGCAAGGAGGCTGAACCAGATGACCTGCTGTGGCTTTCCAGCCTGACCCATCCTGTGCATAATAGCCTAGTGGCATTTACAGTTAGATTGCACTCTGCTCTGCATTGAGATGCATCACAAAAGTAGGATCATATTCTGGGAGGGCAACAAAAGAGTTAGTCTAAACTTTTCAGTGGATTTGTTTTAATGCCAGTAACAACAACTCAATTTTTTYAAGGTCTGTTTCCTCTGGAAGATGCGTTTTTCTCACAAGAACGAGACATTCATAAGAACAGCAACTGAGAGCTGGGACTGCTCAGCTTAGGGAAGGAGAGTCAGGAGGAATCTCACTGATGCCTGATGTTTTTTGCCTTTTATTTTTATATACCTTATAGACATTTTCTGTACCCTTTATGCATTCCTTGTACCCTCAGTCTACATGCTTGTAATTCTTGTAACCTGATATCCTAGCTAGGTGGGAAGACCAAACATGCCCTACTCTATCTCAAACTAGAGGCTCCAACCTTGGTTGAAGCCTTCTCTCTGGAACATATTGTGTAAACTGAGCCCTAGCTTTATCCCAGCAGGATTCTTTAGAGCCATGGGACATTACTTCATTTGTTAAGKTTTTTACTGGAGAATTGAACATAGAAATACTAATTTGTGAGGTCTATAAAAATTGTATACRTGTTATACGCAGGGTGCATCTTCGGCGTTTTCCACCCTGTCAAGCTGTGCAGCTGGGATCCTAGTAAAATACCGAGGTAAAACCCTTTAATCCCCTTAACCGTGTCTGTCTCATAATTCAAAACTGGTCATTAAGGCAACATCTTTACCTAAGAAAATGTAACAGGGCTTTTCTCTCACTGACAGGACAAGTGGCAACTGACACAAAGTAAAACATAAGAAATTCAACCTGAACACAAGAAAACACATTTTTTTATTGTGAGGCTGGTCAACACAGGCACAGTTACCCAGGAGACTTTGTGAAATCTCCATCCTTGGAGATACTCAGAACTCAACTGGACACACCCCTGGTTTAACACACCCCTGCCCTAGCTGCCACTGTCAAAGGACTATCATTGAACTAACTGGTCTTAAGTGGATACTGCCAACCTMAACAATTTTGTGATTCTTTGATCCAAAAATTAGGCCCACTTACTGAGGTATGATGCTTCCTTCGTAACTTGTCTCTGTCTTGGGCTTCTCTGTCAAACTTTCTATCCCTTATATGTATAACCTGCATACCCCTATACCCACACACACCCATAGCTCTGGACCTTTCATACAATTATTTCACTGCACTGCAGGGTAGTTTGACCAGTGAATCTGACTTGAGAGAGGCAAGGGAGCTCAAGTCAACTGAACTCTTAATCCTACTGCACTTGAACTCAATCCTACTGAATTTGCACTCTTTTGCAGCTGGTGATATTTAYGATCCTCATAATCAGTGGAACTCTGGCAGAGAGTTTTCTTTCTTTTGTTATTTTCAGTTGAGGGACAGCACTAAAACCATGAAAACATTTGGCAGTTACTATATGCCTTCCAACGTACACTAAGAGTTAATGCATTCTGAAAGTCAAGAATACTGTTTAAACAAAGCAGATTTATAACATGTGCTAACTGCATATCAGTGGGATCTAATTTGCGGTCAAAACACACAATTTGCCATGAACACCTTCCCAAGGAAACAGATATATACACTTCCAGTGCAACATTAATATCTGAAGCAAAAGATTAGTATGGCTTAGTAGTTATGGATGTCTGAAAATTACATTAATACTTTTGGAAGTGCTTAAGAAAACATTTCTGAAGAAGAAATAAAAATAATAATAATCAAAAGGCATGTAACTTAGTGGGCCAATACAAAGAACGCACTGTACTGACTTATTTATGTATTGTATAAGATTCTAGGTTCAAAGGCCTACACTTTTATGTTGGTTTTATTTACATGTGAAATTTTTTCCAAGTGATACAGGGAAATGGATACCATATGTTGCCCAGCTGTTTTGTTCTGACAGGAACTATTAAGCACTCAGTATGGAAATGAATTCTGTCTGAGTTTTATGAAAACACTGCTTTCAACACAGGGGTCTAGACAGAGGAAAAGCCATCAACATTTTGTTTGTCGTCRCTTTATTTCAGCTTACATTTATTTTGTTGCTTCACTTTCTCCACTTTTTAACTTTAGCAACATGCATTTACATAAACCACTGGTGACCAAATTGTAAAATCAGACACTGAGAAGAGGCAACAACCTCCGTTACAAATCTGCCTTGGATAATTGTGAAGTCATGTATTCCTCCTTTTTTCATTAAAGTTACAGCAGAGTAAGGTACTTCCATTTTTCTTTTTCTTTTTTTTYCCAACATCTCTTTACAAACATTGTTTTCCCAGACAAAAAACTGGAACACCAAAACCAGCAATATTTTTACTGACTTAAAAACATCCTCTTCACTTAACTGAGATAATGTATTTACTCTGCTTTTAATAAGTGATTATATATTAACCACATAGCTGATGTGAAGAAAGAAAGTCAGACTAGCAGACACAGTATTTCTTTGTGCCATTTACTCCTTGGAAGCTGCATTAGTCCTTAGGGTTTTTCTCCATGCAACACTGAAGTTATAGCCTGGAGTGGACCTGGACAAGGCTTGAGCCTCTTTCATTTTTTTTTTCAGATGCTTGTCCGTGAAGAAGCAAAAGCAAGTGTTGCCTGTAGCCTCCAAAGCACCAGCACAGCAGGAGTTATGCTGAATAGCCTTAAACAGCTGCTCCAGAGGAAAAGCCTCTTGCTCATCTCCCCATACTTATGAACTCAGACAGGGACCATTAAAAGTCTGGGTCAAATAAATACGGTTTGATTCTTTTATAAACAACAGTAAAAGATGGTCTAAGTTTAAAGCAGTAGGCTAGAATGTGGAGCAGTTAGTTTGATTCCAGAAACTGACAAATAACTCTAGTACATCTTAAGAGGTGATGAAAATACTTTTTTTCCCAACTATGTTGTCAAAATTATTTCCTTAACTTTCATTCATTAATATAGGAGACTTGGATAATCCTATTGTTGTATTACTGAAGCAAAAATAGAGATGAAAACAAAAAYTGCAGACTTCATTCACATCAGGGAATGAAAAGAAGTATTATGCTGCCTAATAGACATGAGATGCCAAAGTATTTCCTTGGCACAAAACCCCCCTCTATACAGTGAAAATCTGCAGGGGTCAAATTTGCAGATGTAGTTCTTCACCATATAGTGTGCTCTGGGTTCTTCCTGAGGAAGACAAAACTCAAATTAATCCAAAGTCCCGTAGGCTTACTTACAGTTTTTAAAAATATTTATTTACTTACAGATGTCCTAGAACTACTGGGGACAAATAAACAGAAAATTGGGCAATTGGTAAGCAACCCCTCTAACAATTTTGTCATCATCTATTTTATTTTTAGGAATCAGAATTGATCCTTATAGGACATTTCTAGCTGAAGCATCTGTTAACTTCAGAGTATTTTTTAGTCATCTCTATGTCTAGAGCATGGGAAGGTGAGAGCGGGAGTTTTATCTGGTATATAAGCATCTGTAGAACTATAGGGTAACGGCTTTCTCCAACCATCAAGGCAATCTCATGCACAGATGAAACTTTATCCTCGTGACAGGCAGTTTCTGTGATACTTACAGTCTAATGCCAAACATCGGAACACCTCTAAATTGTCCTGAGTATAATAAAAATCACAAAAATGGCATGTTTTACATTAAGRAAGTCTGTGAGTAACACTGACAACTGCCCATATTTTTTAAATGCAGTATTGCAACATATTGTTTGTCTAACATGGGGAGGGGGCTTGTAGTAAATCGACACAAAGTAGTCGGATTTCTACTGACATCTGAAAGAAATGCCTGAGCTTCTTCCTTGTGATATGCCCTCAGCAGAGACTCTYGAATTAATTAAGAGTTGTATTATTTCCAGGTCCATTTAAAGCACTTGATTCCGATTTTGTATGCAGGTGCTGAGTTGTTGACTACACTAGCCAAACTTTCAGAAAAACCATGGTTATTATCACCAAAGTATCTCTAACACTAGCAGCAGTTTGTGGACTCCAAGTGGAAGGGGAAGGGTGTCTCTCACAGATTTATGGATCATCAAAGCCAGTCCTGAGTATCTGTTTACTCTTCTCTTAATATCACAAAATTCATATTTAACTGAATT